TAAAGTCTGGTTTGGTTCTTAAATCTACTGCTGGACTCATGAAATACAAAAGCAATGTTGCATACAAAGCAAAGGAAAATTGCAGGCAGGTGAGAGCTGTCACAAGCCGAGTAGAGCCATTTTTAGGAGCTTTGACCTTAGCCTTTCCTCCAACATAATCACCAAGCATTCCTTCCAAGAAATACCCACTCCTCATATTTGGGTTCCGGACAAATCCCATTTCATAAATTCGATTACCAACAAATTTATACCTGCAAAAATCACAAAAACGAAATATTTATCAGTCAAAACAATGTTCAAACACTAACATCAACATTAGCACAGCATTAAGTTTGACACTGACCAAAATTTCACAGTCAATATATAAATACATCAAGCAAATGCTTTGAAGAATTCACGTTTGAAGATCAGAGAAATGGAAGAGACAAAGTGTGGTGTTGAAGAAGGTGGTGGCAAAGGACAATGGATCCTGTGCCATTGTGTGTGTCTATATATATATATATATATATATATATATATAAATGAAAAAGGTATTAAAAAAATGAAGGTGAAGTACCTCATGAGAATTGCAGCAAAGGTCACATGGGGCTAAACGTTTATATTAATAAAGTTAAAATTAACAATACATCTATTGTTGAATTTTTACGCGTTACCTTCACTACCTCTCTCTCATACATTTGCATTTCCACCATTAGGACAACACTTAAAAAAAGCCGGTTTTAATGGCATAGAAAAGGGCTACCCCTGCGTTTTTGGCACTGCCCTTGTATTCCCATTTGCATTTTTTATTAATTCTCCTCTTTCTCTGCAAGGCTTTTAAACTGAAATATATGTATTCCAACTAATTCCTTCTCCCAAGAGATTCAACAAAAGTACAAACAGAGAATATATTCAGAAACTTTATTTGTGAAAACCCAGTTCCCTATATCAAGATTATTACGTGGCCAATGAAGTTTAATGCAAGTTAAACTTATTAAAATGATAAGAAACATATAAATACAACATGGAAAGTCATGACATTACCTTGGTCATAAAGAAAATGAACCAGAAAATGTGGTTTTATTGCAAGGAGAGAGAGCCTTTTCTTCTTCAGCGAATGAAGCAAAAGAAAAACCCTTAATTTTACAAAAAAAACAAAATGTTGTCAATGGCTAGAATGCCGCGTAGAGTTGTCGACAAGGGAGGTATATTAGGCGAAAGGAAGATTGAGTATATAAGAGAAATATATATATATATATATATAGGCAGGGTTGACTTTGCATGTAGATACGTAAATGAACATTGCGGCAAGCTCTGCACCTCTATGTTAATGGCTTTTTGCCAAACTTTGTGCAAAGTTGAATGCAAGAAAACCTATGACTGGATTTGCTTGCACAATCGGGGTTTGGTCGCTTTGTCAATATAACAAAACCAAAGGAATCGAACACTTGTTTTTCTCTTATTTTCTACAGAAATTTCTGGTAACAGGTGAGATGCCATTGTAATGTGAAGGAGAAATTAATTAAAGGAATTTCAATCTGGGTTTGCCTGTGCTGATTAAGATCATCAACTAATTGAATTTTCAAGAAAACTAGGTGTGACTTGTTATATTAGATATTCAAAGAAAGAATATTCTTAACTGCTACAAACCAGCTTGTGGGGAAAATAATGTAGCAGGTGAAAGCATGGGATTTTAATAAAATGAAGAGAATTTTGTCTTATTATTTGGCAAGGATCACTATATTTAAGGAGAAAATTTTCCTTCAATATAGTAAAAATTACAATATTTGGAGAACCAACTGTTAATAAATTTAACAATCTTTTGTAAAATGTGAGAAACTAGAAATGATTGCAGGGGTGATTTCTTCATTGCTATGCATCAATATGATGATGAACTTACATTTTCTCAAATAGGAGTAAAACAAGTAGCAAATATTCTTCAACTAATGATGATTTGACTTCTTTTACATGCAATTTTTCCCATTTCTGTCAATATTTTTATGAAGGTATAACATAAGTATTTTTAACAGAGAAGAAAAAGTAATTAAATCGTGAGCATATATGCATTTTAATTGAGGATTAATTTAAAATTTGTGGATAACATCTCATTGGTTCATGTTGATTCCATGCTTTTCAACATTGGATTTTGGAGATTTATTACCTGTTAAGAGTACTTTGCATAAATGCAATTACAGAATCTACACAATGAAATCTCAAATCCGGATTTCTTTATGTCCATAGCAACCATTTTGAAGAGAGAAACAACTTTCGGAATATATCTGCTACAAATCTCACCTTCCAATTATAGTCAAATGATGATGATGATGGCATGAAAATCATTGGGGATCTGTATTTTAAAGCCTTATGTTCAAGCTTTGGCAATGGAACCTTCCATTGCTCCTCCATAAATTTAAGGATCCACCACAAAAAAATAAATTAAAATCAATTACAATGTTTTTAAAGCTTAGTTTGATATAAATATCAAATTTGATAATTGTTAATCTATATCTAATGACCCTAGACACTAGCGAAATTGATATTTAAGGAAATAAATATTTAATTAATATATTATTTTCTCTTAAATTTGTTAAATTTTATTAACCAAAAAAAAATTTAATTAATTTCTTGAGTCTTTCATTTCCTTATCATTATGTTTTTATCTTAAAATTTTCAAACAAGCCATAATTAGGATAACCTTCTTAATCCGTGCAACAAAGTATTATAAACTAAAATTCTGCCGCTCATGGATGTGATAAGAAGTAAGAACATGCAAATTATAGTTCGTAAAATAAGAGTGTAATCGAGTCGAGTCGAGTTGATGCAGTGAGAAGTTCAAGCAAGTGCTTGACTCTCAACTCGCGATTCGATATTCGATTTAAGCTCGATCGAATTTCATTTTTTTAATTTGAATTCGATTTGTGATCAAAATCGAGCTACTTGAGCTCACTCGATTAAGCTCGATTAATATATAAAAATAAATTCGATTCGTATATTCGATAAGAGTTTAATTATTTATGCTCGAATTCGAAATATTTTATTAATTAAAATAATATAAATATATTTAAATATAAAAACTTAATTAAACTTCTGAATTATTCGAAGTCGAATATAAGAATATTCAAATTTAACTTGATCGATTAGTCAAATTGCTCAAACTTAAATTTCACACGATAATAATCGAATCAAATTTAAATTTTATTTGAATCAAATTCAAATAATTTATAAATATTAATGTGTCATTTATATTCTTACACACGTATACGAGCAAATGTCAAGAACATTATAATAAAATTACTAAAAAATAAATTATTAAACCTAACAAATTGTTATACAATCTCTCTTTTTTTTTTTCCCTTAGTCAAAACTCTATAAAACTAAAAAAAAGTCAACCTTGAGCAACCCAATCAATTGCACTGACACGATTTTGACTGATCCGGCACCAATGGCCAACTTTGACAGGCTGAAAAAAAATGAATAAGGCATCTAATCAAGTGGAAGCCACATAAGCAAAAAGTTAAGCAATTTCATTTGGTTCAATGGTTTTATGTTACCTAACAAAAATAGGAAACTCTCTCAGTATTTGAATCAAAGTTTTCTGATTTTGAGTCTCCATGTGCAGCTCCTCTTCCATTATTTTATACAACCTTTTTTCTAGAAAATATATATAAATTGTGGGTAGTCAAGTTGAAGATTCTTGGTCTTAATTAGTGTGTTTGTATAAAATTTTTAGTGGGATAGTGCCTAAATGGATTTTATATTGACTTTTGGGTTTTTTTTTCTTATTTATGTAGAGTTACGGGTTTCATGTGAGTCATTTATAGAAATAAAAATTTTGTAACTTTAAAAAAATTATTATAATAGTAGTACTAATAATAAGTAAAATAAATGGTTCGTTTTTTATAAAAAATATTATAAATTAAGAAATATATATTGTGAGCTCGAAAATTATAATTAATTAATTATTCATGAATTATTCTTAATAAGTAATATTTAAAGTACATTTAGAATTTAAATCCTAATAGAACTTGAAATTTTTTTTTTTAATTTTGAAATTGACCTCTTTTGTATTAAAAAAAATAAGCATATATTGTGAGTGGGTGGCTTTAATTTTGGTAGCTATTGCATGGAATTTAATTTTAATGCTTAAGTTGAAAAGTCAACATTTAACCATATATAACAAGAGGCAGCAGTAATAGAATTAGGAAGAACACAGCTTTGCCAATAAGGAATATTTATTCTCCCAATAAACTTGTGAGTTGTAATACTAAAGAAAAAAAACAATACTTTTGTGGGTGAAAAGTGAAATTGAAAAAAAAAAAAATTACTTTGACTACTGTGTCAGGAGACCATTTGTGATTAATAATTCTGGACATAAAGGATGTGCAAATTCATCATCAAGAACCTTAATATATGTTTACTTGACCTAAAAGTAGAAATATATATGATAATTAAAGTTACCCAAATAAGAACAAGAAAAACCCCTGGAAGATTATAAATAATTCATTGGATAATGGCTTTAATTACATTGTTGAATCCAAGTTTAAATCAATAAGAGATAGCGCAAATGGTTAAAATTTAAAACTTTAATACAAAGTATTTATATTTGAATGTCAACGATCTTTTATTAGTAGACGTTTTGTAAGCTTGAAAAATTAAAAAAAATTATAAATTATTTTATGAATTAATGATTTATCTTAATTTTAAAGATGAATTAACTTCTCTTATTCTTAAACTTTTCTCGATCCAAAAAGAAAATCCAAATTTAAGAATGCTCAAGTGCCTAAACGTCTTATGTCACATGCTATCAGCTACATGTTTTTTGCTGAAAATATAGACTTTTAATCTGGATCAAGGATCATTACAGCTGTTATGAAGAGCCACATGGTTTCCAAGGAAGAATTAAAACCTACTAATTGCATTGGTTATTTGTCAGTTGCTTAATTTAATCCATCATTTCATGATTAAGAAGTCATAGGATCAATAAGTCAAGATTTTGTTTGTTTGTGTATCTTTACCCGAGGATTGTGCGAAGAAAACAGTGAAAATTGAATGACAAACCCCTGAATTTAACAATAACAAGTAATTATACAACACAAGTCCAACCATGGGACAAATTTCTTTTCATTTCTCCAGCAAGTTTGCCACAAAGTTGAGCATTAGAGAAACAAAATTGAACTTCAAATGAAAAAAAAAAAAGAGTCAAGCTTCAAATGATGAGGTTAATGCTTTTTTTGGAGGTGTGGGGATAGTTTACATCAGAAAATGAGTAAATAAAAAATTCCCATTTCAGGAACAACTTGGCCTCCTAAAATTAGTTTCTTGAAACCTGCGTTTTTACTTTGGCATGCTTCAAATCTCTCACCTAGAGATTTCGCGTTTTGCAGGGTAACCTAACTCTTCCATCTCCCAACTTAGCTTTGAAGCAACTCTTTCATGCTGTGGTTCATACTCCTATTACAAAGAAATGGGTGTTCACCATTAAAATTAGCTCTACAAATCTTACTATAGATTATTCTTTGAATTATGAAACCAAATTCTTAATTTTTTGATCAATAATTTTCAATACATTTTTTTAAGAAATGGTGAAGAGAGAGAAAAATTTGTACCTCCATGTTTTTGACCAACTCTTTTGCAGTAGGAGCCGATACTATGATATGGCGAGCATTTGGACTAATGAAGCCTTCCTCCACTGCTTTGTCAATAAATGACAATAAAGAATTGTAGTAACCATCAACATTCAACAATCCCACCTGCAATTCAACAAATAAAGATTTTACTTTTTTTTTTCTCCACTGGTCTTGAATGTTAAAGAAAAAAACAGAATCCCATTTTTTTTTTTTTTTTTGTTTAGGAAATTGGAAAATAGAAAGGAAGTAAAAGGAATGTTACCGGTTTATCATGAATTCCAAGTTGGGCCCAGGTTATGACTTCAAGAAGTTCTTCAAGAGTTCCATAGCCACCTTCAAAAATACATCATAGAATTTCATGTTTAGAAAATGTTAGAAATTTGATAATTGATGTAATGGGCTTTCATGTTAACTCAAGAGATTATTATATTAATTTCAAACATGAAAATATACAACAAATTCCAGTATTTGTCTGTACTTTATTCAAGGTTTTGAAGGTTGGGTCAGGTTTGGCTCATCTTGTGTTGTGCATCCAAAAGCCCAACCAGGAGCCCATCGATTTTGCCTTGCCAGTTACTTTTGGGTCTCTCTCGAGCCCATTCTCCTATTTCCTTGACCTATTACCCAGTTAAAGTCCAGAAGCCTCAGATCAGACCCAAGATATTTGCAAGGTTGGGCAGGTCCTTTTGGGTGAACAATAGAGTGAAGGAGCCCTTTAAAGGCAAACCAGAAGGGCTTTTCTCTGTTTTTGAGAGCCTAAAAAGTATAAGCAGAGTTACCCAGATGTGGTCCAGGAAAAGGTCCCCAGCCCTAGGCCCCCGTTGAGAGATTGATCAAAACAGAAGCTATTGGACAAAGATTGGTTAAAGGTATGGTACAAAAACATACAATCTGGCAAAGGAGAAAGGACCATAGATGTTAGAGAAACGAATAGTTCCACAAATGGTTTTTTTCATAATATCTGATGAAGGGATGGTGCAGTGAAACCACAGGCAGGGGACTACTGGTGGAGATGGATAGTGCATTCTCACCACATGAAGTTTTCCAGGCTCTTACTCACCACCGGTGACCAGGAATCCTAATTTACAGTGTCAGAAGCTTATGATGGTGAAGTCAGAGATAAGGGCTTGAAGGGTAGCTCTCTGATCATCCACGGACTTTTTCTTGGGGCTAGTGAGACCCAACTCTTGTAGTTCATGCTTCAAAGCGTTGCTATCATCTGTCTACTACACTACTGATTCATACATGGGAATGCAACAGTTACCCCTAAAAGAGTCATTAATTACCCTCATTCTCTTGTTATAATTCATCATACAATTAATGAATTTTGCACTTGTGTTGAAGAATTAACATGAAAATTATAATTATGTATGATGTTAACAATGAGAGTACTTGGGGTGTTATACCAACCAGGTAAGGCAATGAAAGCATCAGATTGTCTAGCCATTTCTGCCTTTCTTTGGTGCATGTCTGCTACTGCCTTAACTTCCCCCACTGTCTCTCCTGTTATCTGCAAATGTTATTAGCCACCAAGTCAATACAAAGCAATGCCAATATGCCCACATAACACCTAACTTTAGTGATGGAAAAAAGTGCGGAGAGAAGGATTTTCACTGAAAAGCAATGATGGGAGTAGCAGAGGTGGTGGGCTCAGTCCAAAAATATCATACTACTACTTGGGAATTTGATTGGCAAGTCAACATTCATTCATTCACAATAAAAAAAGAAGAAAAAAAGAGCAAAAAACAAAATACAGAAGAAAATATATGCACCATATAAACCTGATATTATACTAGGAATGAGAATCTTGGCGGTGGGCAAATAAAAACCATTGGAGAGGGACAAAAATGGTGAAGACCCATATGCACTCGGGTGGAATGGAATTCATTGGCAAAGTTTCATTAAAAAAAAAAAAGACCTAACAAATGTGAAAAACAAGGGGAAGTGAAAATTTTAGGACCAACCAAAAAGTCTAAAATTGGAACCTGCATGAGTCTCAAAAGAGACAGGTACGAAAATCCATATTTAAAAGATAACAAAAGTGAGGTAGAAATTCATGTAGTGGGAGATAGCACTAGATAAATAAATAAATAATAAATATTTAAAACATAAACGAAAAAAAAAGCAGTTAATGTTCTTCTTCCTTTCTTTTTTTTTTTTTTTTAATTTTTAGATTATTGTTTATTTTAAGGTAATTTGATAGGACATACCTCTCTAGGCATGAGTGTCTTGGGAATCACTCTGCAGACATTAAACATGAAGAACAAACCAAGACAAGACACTATTAGAGCTAAGTTTTGCTGTCAATCAATCCATTAAGTTTTATAATTTGAATCAATTTTAAGGAATAAAAAAGCAACAAAAGGGATGAATATGCGTACCCTATGACATGACGGCCACCATCGAAAACTGCTTGAGAAATCAAGCCCATTAATCCGATACTACCTCCTCCATAAACCAGATCAATATTTCTTGAAACCTTCATTTAAAAAAAAAAAGGAAAATTAACATTTCAATATGTTCAGAATGAAGCAACAAAAATCTGCTTCATCAAGCATCCATCTAACAACATTTTAGTTTACTTCATGAAAGAGAGGAAAAATGAGTACAAGCTTTTCAGTTTAAAAAAAAAAAGGAATTGTATATGCAATGTAGGAAACAGAGAAACAGGGAAGTTTTGAACAGAGCAAGATAGAGAAAAATATACGCTAGAGATATTGAATGTGATAAAAGTAACCCCTAATCAAATTGTACTTAATTCATAACACCCTTTTTCAGAATCTTAGTGTTAACAACTTTAATTAAAAATCAATGAACAGGATTTCATTTGATTTCTTGGAGAAGTTTAGCACCGGAACAAACAGTTTAGTAGGGAAATGAAGTTGGAACTCTTCAAGAATATGTAAATAGGAAGCAGAAAACTATGTCGTTAAGAGTGTTAAAGTCTTAGTTCTTGATCTGATTCAAATTCTGACAGTTTCAAATATAAAAAAAAAAGCAGAAAAATCATGCGGGAAGGTAATCACTGGGAATAAGTTTATTGAAAAACTGAAGAGTAGAAAAAGAAAACACTTGCAAAATGAGTTTAGAAACAATTCAAACAAACAGATGAAAACAGAGCTAAAACAGAGAAGTGAACAACAAGAAAAAAAGGTGAGGAAGTAATGTTGAAATAACTCAAAATCAAGTTTACATAGAAGATTGAAGTAAAAAAAATTAGAATAAGGCAAGGAAAGGCCAGAAAAAGCACTTTCATGACAAGCTCAAAGCGAGTTTAAAGAAATAGATGAAAGAAAATTAAAACAGAGCAAAACAGAGCTGAAACAGAGAGAGGCAGAATTAAAAAGGGCCGGCATGTGTACCAATTCCCTGCCAAGCTCAATAGTAGCTTCTTTGTAACTGCTCTTCTTTCCAGGGCTACTCCCACAAAACACACAAATTCTCTTGAATTTTGATTGTTTCATTTCCATCTCTCTCTCCATTTCTCACCCTTTTTTTTTCTTTTCTTTTTTGGTTGTTCTTTAGAAAAGAAACTAAGCAAATCCTCTGCTTCAATGAACAAAAAAAAAAAGCTTGACAATTTGGGAGTGGTTTGATGTGCATATATAACGGTAGCAGAGGCCACAAGGTTTGTAGACTAGCATGCGTAAAATCCATGCTCAAATAGTCCAATGCCCCTTTATGAACAAACAGAGATGATTGCCTTACCCTTTTGTTTCATCCGGCTGACTCACCCTCCAATCAAATTGCTCTCTTTTTTTTTTTTAATCTTATTATTTAAAATATCTCACTGTTCAATAAGCGTGTAATCTGTTGATATAGTATTATATTTTTAATTTTAATAATCAAAATTTAATCTCCAATAATTTTAAATATCATAAAGAAAAACATTGATGGTTAAATTTATAATATACATAACCAATCTTTCTCTCTTTTAATAAAAAGATTTCAAGTTTGAATATACCATTCATGAACTATATTAAAATATGTGATATGTGATCCTTAATGTCTCTAATTTTCAAAGGAGGGAATAAGAATTCATGGAACATAAGCTCAAGAACCTGTTTGAAAGATGTTTACATGAGCTTTTTTAAGTTCTTTTGTCGTGTTTTCTCCTTTTTTTTTTTTTTTTTAATATATTCTACTCTCTTTTTTTCGAATTTTAATAGGTATGAACATGTTTTCTTCACTTTGAAAAAGGAGATTTTAGCTTGTAATAGTCTTATTAATTAATTCCTCACAAACAAAATCATTCCTTTAAGACGCTTTCGTATGTTTTGATGCTTATTCTGACATTTGTCAAATCCAGGATCTTTGGCACTGCAATTTGTTGGATCAAACTTCACATATTTGTGCGAGGCAAATACGACTTTGTGCAAACAAAGTTTCCACATTTTCTTCCTTATTCCATGACTTTACCACCAACAGATTATGATTGGTTGAGTGGTTAAGATTCTAATACTTCAAATGAAAAGTTTAACTTTAAGTTTCGTTGTCGACCATTTATATTGATGGACAATATATAAATTCAATATAAAATTTTTTGTTTGTAACTTAAAATGAAAAAATTTGTAAAAAAAAAAAAAAAATTTACCCTTCCTTTTTTCTTTAATCACTACTTCTGATTCAAAGTTTGCATACATCCCACAAGATTTTGACCAAAGTTATTAAAAATTAAATTTTAATTATTAAAATTGGCAAGTTTTAACTTTTGATAAATCTCTGATTTTGTTGAGAGATTCTATATGTATTATAATTCTCTATGTTTAATTTTCAAGAAGAATCTTTATAGTAAGTCTTAATTTATTAATAATAATTTGAATAAAGTTTGATTCATTTTTATAACGTTTTGGATACATCGAATAGTTGATAATCTGATCAACTTTTCTTTGTGTGTGGCTTCGCATTTGATCTTATATTTCCATCATCTCTTCAGATTCTTTATTTCAGTATCAAACTATCAACAAAATTAGAGTGGGACTCTTCCTTTTTTTATCTGTCGTGAGACTAATTTTTGTACGGAATTTTGGGACAAATTTAGCTAATAAAGGTAACTTTGATGTTATTAAATTGTTATCCCCTCCTATATTTCTAAATAGGCAAATACAAAACGACATAACCTATATTGTGTAAGCGAGTTTCCGCTCTTTATGATAAAAAAAAAAAAAAAACTACCAAGAAAATTTCGACACGTTTTGGATCCTATGTTCTTATCATAATGGTTGGAAGTGCCTATCCCCTTTCCTTCCCATCTTTCATATAAAAAAAAAATCCAAAAAAATGCATTAAACCCACCATAGCCATTTGCCAATTCCCCGTACAAAATTCAGTGTACTACAAAACCACTATTCTTGTTTTTTGTTCGCTTTTTCTGTGGTGCATGGGAAGAGATAGGGAGAGAGGCTTGAGAAAGAAGATCATGATTCATAATTGCGAATGCAAAACCCAAATCCAAAAAAAAAAAAAAAAGGAGAAAAAAAATGGTTTTGATTCTAAAATTTTGAGTGTATATGTAGAGTGTATAGAGTCTAAAAACTATAGACAACTAGTCCAAAATGAAGGAGAAGTTTGTGGGTGATGACCCAATGAACCATTTCATTTGTACCCTTAACCACCCCTCATTCGACATCTATGTTGTATGCATAGGAAACATTAGTATTTTTATTACATGAACAAAACAAACTCTCTCCATTTCCCCCACATTCTCTCTGCCGGACCAAAACATGTTGTCCCCCCACAACCCCTCTCCTTTGCCCTACTTAATTCTCTTCCCCAAACACTCCTCCCATGCATTTTTTTTTTTATATATATATGGTTCTGATTTTCAACCATTTCTTTAAAACTTGTTGTATTTTTAATCTGCCAACAAAATTAATGGCTAATCTAATTAATTAATTAATTCACTATCATGTCATGTTTTTTAATCTGATATTATATGATTTAGTCATCATAATTTTAACCAAGAGGGATTGATTTTCATTCTTTTGAATTAGATATTGTTTGTTTAATTTGTTTGGAGCCAACATCTCATTACCTTAAAAACAATAAACAGTCTAATTTGCTTAATAATTTCACAACAAAAATGGTGGTTGTCAAATTTGCTGTTGATTTGATAGTAACATAACAAGACAGGTTTTGATTGTAACAAAACATGGCAGTAGGCAGTCGGCAACACAAGTTGGGTGATTTTCCAGTCCCATCCAAATTTATGAAAGATGCAGATCATAGAAATTTTTCACATGTCTTGCTACATAGACTTGAGACTCAGTTTTACATCCCATGTAAGTTTGTTTGAGGATTAACTTTGGTCAGACACCAATTAAACAATCATTTGCATATAACAATTCTCTCAGTAACCTTTTAAATTTGCATCATTTTACTTTTACATAAAATTCTTATTTCTAGTAGCTTAAAAACGAAATAACTCTTAATCTCAGTGATAAGAATCCAATCACTCTAACAGCTTAAAAAAAATCATTTAAAACGAAATTCGAGTGACTTATTTCTGAATAGGAGATATGGAGGGCTGAGAGGTAACGTGGGGTATCGATCTGTGCTGTCCTATCTCTTTGTTGCAGTTGTGTCTCTGAGAGCATGGATCAAAGGTGTAAGCCAGAGTTTTAACCCTAACGCCCAACAAAACTTCTTTGTGTAAAAATTTACATATGATACCTCTATCAATGCTTACCCTTTGATTCATGCTTCTCAGAAACACAACGTGGTAGGGCTAAAATTCTGGCTTACCCCTTTGATCCATGCTTCTCAGACACAACTGCAACAAAGAATAAAAACTTAAAAATTTACATATGATACCTCTAAAAAAAATAGATAGTTCCATGCATGCATTATCTGTGAACATATTAACTGAAGAATAAAAAAAGGGAATATGGGATCGGAATATTTCTAAAAACTTAAAAAAAAAATTCTCCATATGACATTTTTTATACATTAAAAAAAAAAAGGCAAGCAAATTATCAACTTGTGATTCCTTATCCCTCCCTGCTTGTTTGACACGAGTTCCTGCCCCCCCTCAAACCAGGCCCCAGGGGTGGACATGTGGATCGGTCACTTCCATAATATGGTAAGAAAATGAACATGTTAGTAACATGTAGATGTTTTTATTGTCATGTCACCACTCCACAACTGACACCTATTCAAATTTTGGGCAATTTGGCCTCACCAAATTTAGTTAGATTTTGTCTATCACATCCTCTTGTCTCTTTCCAAATGCAAAGTTTTTGAGCTAAAAGTTGAAGAGAATTGTGGCAATAAAAGAGTGAAATTAAGACCCCTCCCCCCCCTTCCCCTTACGTGAGAGTATGAATTAAATACCTATTTTTGCCTGATCCAAAAATAACCCCAACAAAAATTTATGCCATTTGAGTTGACTCTTTATTATGATATGCAATGAGAAGAATAAGAATTGTTGTCCAATTTTTATTAGATGAGATGAGATGTTGAGGTTTAGATTGTGGCAGGTGGAAAGCACCAATCACCTTTTTTTTTTCTTTGCTCTTTTTAGGTACCTAGTTGCTTTGGATTGCTGAGGTTGTTAGGGAGGTTTTGTTGTAATTTCACCCTAAGGAATTTTGATGATAATTGATCAAATTAAAACTTCTCTTTACTCTTTAATTAAAAAAAAAAAAAAAAGGAGAGCAAAATGGTCAGTCAAGCCTACCAAACAGAGGGGAAAAAATAAAGCAAAAATTAGTCAAAAATGGCTTGCTTAATATTCCTATGATTCACATCTATTAAATTTTGAATCAATTGACATAATATTAAAATTGATGCTATGAGATTACAAGTTTGAATAAATTTGGTGCGTAATATTTTCTTTAAGTCAAGTAAATAGAGGGTTAAAGATAAATTAAAAATTCAAAAAAAAATAAACCCTATGATTATTTTATTTCTAAAATTGCATAATTATAACAGGTGAAAGGAAGGGTAGCTTAGGGGTAAGTAAATGATCAATTCGATCGGTTCGGTTTGAAAAAATCAATAATCGATTTAATCGATTTTTATTTAACAAATAACCGAACCAATCAAAATCGGATCGGTTCGATTAAATAACCGGTTTTTTAATCATTTTTTTCCTATTATGAATAATTATTTAACCATAAATTCAATTCAATAAAATTTAAATTCTAGTATCATTCAAACTAAATTACTAAAGAATTTAATAATTTCAACAATATTTTACCAAAAAAAATAAATAAAAATATTTATCTCAATTTTTTTATTTTTAATTATTAAAAAATCGGTTAATTCGATCAGTACGGTTATCAATTTTAAAAATCGAAAACCGACCGAATTAACCAATTTAAAAAATTAATTATAATTAAAACCGAATAAATCGAACCGATTTAACCGAATTCACTCGATTTTGATCAATTTAATAGGTTCAAACTGACTTTTACTCACCCCTAAGGTAGCTCTCTTTTTCTTTTGCCCTATTTGTTGGAGCTCCAATGAAAATGCATGTCATTATAATTAATTTAAACTCAAAATAAAATTGAGTTCCACTTTAAAAATTGGTGGAATTCCTAGTCGGAGATAATTGATCGATCCCCCACTGCTTTCCCATATACCCCCCCTACTTTCCATCATCGCTTCATAAAAAACCCTTTATAGGACATGTCTTTAGGTTATATGGCCATCGTCTTTTCCACTATCACAACATATGCTAACCCTTGAGATCACGTCTTGTCCTACTCCTAGGAACATCCCCAAGCTCAAATGTCTTCGCTCTTCTCTCTCTTTTATTTCTTTTATTTACCTCTATCCAATAAAGAATGAGGCACTGTTTCAATGCCAAGTAAGAAGATCTTGAAAACTTTAGATCCTAGATTCAGATCTTACTCAGACGCTTCATCCAATTATATGTTATTTAAGTATGATTGTAATTTATTTTGATACGTATGATTTCATTAAATTTTATACAATTAATTAACTTAATAAATTATTTACTTTAATTTGCATGCATGGTTGTAGCATCACGCATGCTTTACAAAATGAGATTTACATGCTTCTTCTTTTAATTCTCACAATTATAAGTTAAAAACTTGGTTTTTGGAGTTAAATTTCGTGATTAATTAAACTAAGAAATTAACTAATTTGGTGCTAATTACTAATTTTATTGAGTGGACATGTGACTTAACATTTATCTGAACATATTATGCCATGCAGTAGAGGAATATTAAACCAAAATCAAAAGAAAGAATTTGTTAGCTATTAGGCTTAGTTAGGCATCGAACCATTGTTAGCTAAAGCGATTAATTCGCTTTTATTTTAAAAAAAAGAAAGAATCTGTCTAGAATTCTCTTTAAAAAAAATCAAAGTGGATGAATAAACCCCATGAAGTTGATTTGCAAGAAATGGAGTTTGAAGGCTGCAAAAGGTCATGGAAATGAGAATTTTGATGATTAGCTCCGAAATACCTAACCTATTGATCATCAGTGTAGGTAGAAATGAAAGCAAGAACAATCCAAAGCCGCCCAGAGCTAAAATTTCAGCTTTCTTCCCTCCTTGTGGGGGAATTTTCTGATGATTAAGAACCCAAGTTGGGGCATAGACAAAGCTTGCTTTTTTTTCCATTGCATCACCGTCAAGGAACACAAATTGGTTAGCCTTCACCTTTTCGGATAAGGCACACATCTCTTTCACAATATTATTATGCCATTAAGTCTTTTTTTTGCAACCTTATGCCCATCACATCCTCTGATTTTTGAGCACAATGGGGAAGATGGATCACCTAACCAAAAGAGAATTTTATTTAATGTTTCCTACAATAAATTTCCAACTTGAAAGTGATTTTTAAAAAAATTAGTACTTAATTAAAATATATCCTTTTGGGAAGAGTATTCTAATCTCTTCTAATCTTTTCTTTTCTTTATTTTTTGGGTTAAAATTAAACTATCTTTATCATCATCCGTTATGATTATTCCATATTTAAAAAAGACGGATGAATTCATTGGTATAGCATATGCTTTTATTGATATCTATTGATCATGGTTAGTCTAAGGTTTCATATTAATTTTAATTTCTTTTTTCTCAGAAAAGCAATTCCTTTTCTTACACCCCATTCAAGAGTACTATTGGAATCTTGTTGCTTTCTTGACTTTAGACATCTTACTAATCCATCACATGATGGATATTAATTAATTCTAAGTTCCCAAGTCTTAATAATGGGATTTATTTCTTGTTATCAGCCACCAATTAACCCACCCCTCAATACAATATTTATCTTAATTTCTTGAGTGCTTCATTACGTGTGCAATTTGCTTAGGGAGAGATTCATACATCATCAATCACTTATAATTTCTCAATTAAACTTAAACATAATAAACTCAAACAGTCTTTAGTTCATTAATCTTATTTAACCCATCAATTAATGATGCATTAACTAATGAAAATGGCTAAAAGGTTAGTAGTCAAGGGTGTGTCTTCCCCTCTCTCCAAGTTTTTGGGTGCCATGTAAGAGACAAGTCAGCAGACACTCCATGTGTCTCCATTAAATCAATTAACAATAACCAACGTAGATATTTGTTAATAAAATATTAAATTTTTAGTTTCAGTAATTAAGATTTAATTTTTGATAATTTTAATTAAAAAAATGTAATTATTTGTTGATTACTTATCGGCAACCCTATAATTTGAATTTTGAAAGCCAAGATGTGACTCTACTACTGAATTTTTTTATTAGAAAAAAACAACTTGAGAAGCTTGGTGGGAAAAATCTCCATATAAATGAACCATTTTACAAGATATACATAATACAAATTAGTACTATTATTTATTTAATTGAAGAGAAAACAATTGTCTAACTCAAAACATATGAAACATTACATCATCCTAGGGAAATCATTTAAAAAAATGAAAGGTGGATTAATGTGACTTGAAAAAGCAAAAGTTGTCACAAATTAAAGAATTAATTAATGGGATTAAGCTGCATTTAGACATGGTTTAATTAATTAAATAGTATTGTCGATTAGAATAATTAATTTGTACATGTAGAAGAGTCAACAATTGCTCGAAGGAACTGTTCCATCAAAAGAGGAGAGGTCTAGTGGATTTCAACTTTTGACAATACAATTTAGTTCTTTTAATCTAGAAAACAAAAACGATGAGACCACCGACTTCTGATTTGTCCAATGAGAGAATTGATGTCATGTTTGGTCTTTTTCTACCCATTTCATCATCACGGAAAAAAAGAAAAAATTGTTAGCTTCTTTCAAGTGTATATCAAAAGTCAAAATGCAGGAAATTCTGGAGAATTTGAGATGAAAATTTATACACGGAATTTGTTTATATAGTACTTAAATTGTGGTTCATCTAATTTGTAAATTGCATGTGACTCTCGCTTCAAATTAACATTTCTTTGTTGGCAGCATATTTGGCAACTTGTGCATTCGTGAAAAGCCCTTCACATGACGCACAATACCGCCCCTTTCCAATTCCCCATCAAAAAGGGAAAGGAAAATTTGATTTTCGATTTGTTTATCTAGGCTTTTCGCATATTTTGACTTTTTTTATTTTGCATAAAAGTTTGAAATCAAGAAGGTTTTTTCGTTATGGATTTAGAATAGATGACAAGTTATAAAAGAAAACTTGCTTTAGATTTACTAATCGTTTATGAAGTGAGATTGCTGGCAATAAGACTCAATCTAGATTATAAGCGATGCATTTAAATCTTACAAACTTGATCAATCCTGTTAACACTTTGACATTTTTTTAGGTTCAAATAATCTAACCATTTGAAAAGAAAAGTAGATTTGTTTGAAAAAATTGGGTGTTTGATGTAAAAATTGTATGTAACCCTGGGAGAAGTTCCCACCTATAACATGTTGATCAACTCGAAATTGAATTTTCCTTCGATAAAGATTGGGAAATTATGGAAAAGAAAGAGAGTTATCAAACTGTGTAGCCGGCTATTGTACAGGAAAAAAATGGACTTGTATTTGAAATATGATCTATCATTCAAATTAGTTGAAATAAATTTATTATTCTGTCAATTTGCTTTCCCAATGGGCCAAAAGGTTGACCGTGCTGAACCATTAGTCTTTGGTTCCAAATTTCATATTCCATGAAAGGGAATTGTTTTGATTTTCTTTTTCTTTGATTTTATCCTTTTTTTTTTTTTTTAAAGAAATCAACATCAGAGGAGAATTCGCCGATCATTTTGGAAGTAGAAAAAGGGACATCAGAACATGATCAGATGATGAATTGTTGCTTGGCTGCTCCCTCAGAAGTTGAAAGAGTTTGTCTCTCTCCTCCCTTTTTCATGACCAACTGGCTGCTCAACCATACCATCTATTGACAATCACACCATGTTTAAATGCCTCCAAACTATTCGAAACATGCAATAAATTACACTGTTTGCTTAATTAATATCTTCATCACGATTATAATTATCATTTATCAACAACGAAATTATGAAAATATATGACTTCCTTGCAAATGAAAAAATGAATAATAATTTGCCAATAATCGTCTCGTATAATCTGTTAATAAAACACTTAATTGGTTATTTTAATGATTAGCATTTAATCTGTAACAACCTCAAATGACAAAAGAAAATTGATTTGCCAGCTGCTTGTTTGCTTACTATCACACGCTGCTTAATAATAAATAACACATCTTACCTAATGTGATTGGACCTGTGAATCCCATGAATATACAGCTATTGTTAACCTATATGTATTTATACTATATTTGCTAAACACCCTAGCAATGAAAGGAGCTATAGGCCTTTTAGGAATGGTTAGTTGGTTCCCAAACATGGAAATTAATGTAGCTTAGTCCAAAATGACAGGGATCAGTTCACACATTCATGAATGTTATAATAGTAAACCAATTATCTTAGGGCTTATTGACTTGATTTCGAATTTCTCTACTTCATTTTGAATTAGAAGTTTTTCAGATTCTTGAAGCATGCATGGAATGTGAAGTAAGAATTCAATGGAATGATTAAAGTCAAAATTTCCAACTGATGAGAATATTTTTTTTCATTAGCTCTACAAGGTTTAGAATGGGATAGGGTTGTGTTGGATTTCGGTGGATTTGTTAAAGGCTTAGGTCTTTTGACAAACTAAAGTAAAACCTATATATGGACTACTTTTCCTATCATTCAAAATTCAAAACCATAATTAAAAATAAGTCGCAGCATACAATCACACAGCCGCAGGAATCTCTTTGCAAGAATTTTTTGCATTCTCTGATTTGGGATCGACAAGGGAACACGAATACAAGGCAATGATCCCTATACTTTATAATTATAACATTGTTGTATTATCACCTTTTGTGCTAAAGTTCTTTAGGCATGCATTTTACTGATAAACCTTTAATTATGTTATTAATTTCGGCGTTTGGACTTTGTTGAATTTCTCACATTGATTGAGAGAGTTGTGAGAGGCATTCACATAAATTTTGTAAACCTTTTGATTGAGACAGTTAGAATTTAAATTTTAATTACTGAAAATAAAAATTTAACGGTCTGAGTTCAAATTTTAAATCTTGTCTACCAAATGATGAAAAAGAAAAATTTTGGTGGCGATCATGGATTAAGCCATAGCCTGTTCAAAAATTGCAGTTTTGATGGCATTATATGACATGCTATTGCTAGCTAGACAACTTGAGAGTGTGTTTGACAATATTGCTCAACAGCAAAAGGAAAAATGGTGGATTATTAGCCAGTCCAAGTGCAGTCCTATGGGGAACTGCAACCATTTTTGTGGGTCACCAATTTGTGGATTCCATGAACACCTGTGAAAGTTAAAATGGCTGCATTCGAGTCGAGTCAGAATCCCATGAAACCGAAAATTTTCAGCTGCCAAAGAAAACGTTTATGGGATTACCACTTGAGTTTGTTTGTCTGTCACTGGAACAAGGAAATCCAACAGTATCATTCTTTGTTGGTGGATAGCTAGCTCCATTGTTGTTCTTGTAATTATTTCTTCTTTTGTAGTATATATCTGAGACTCTAGAAAAGAAATTTATTGGTAAAATTCCCATGTCCAATTTTTTAAAATTCGAATATGTTATAGTTATACGGTCATTATAACAACTTGTATGATTTATTTTATAGATAAAATATTGAATTTTTTAATTTCAATGATAAAAAATATCTATTTAAATTTTACGAAATCCGATCGAAATTGGAATGGTTAAAATTTTTATTTAAACCAAGGAAATTCAAGGGTGAACTATTTTTTGGGAAAAAAAAAAGAAAAAAGTTAATTAGAAAAAGAGGTTTCCCACTTTCAAGGGAAAAAACAGTAAGAAATTTGGTTCTTTCACCAAAATTTCTAATTAACTCATTAACGCAATAATTACTACACGATAAACAAATGACAAATCAAGCATCCCCCAGTGGCAAATTCAAAAGAAATTCTATTTCAAGTTTGGATTATTTGGGAGGTTTGATCATTTGTATGAGCAGAATCTCATATTAGAGGAGGATTAGGTCATCAACTCTCCTTTTAATCCAATTTTTAACAACTTCCCTCTTTGTCGGAAAGCCAATTTGTCAATGGTCAAGGACATGATTAAGGGTGCCTGGAGAGATTTATTCCAATGAATTTGGCTTTAACAACACAGACCCAAGTTGTCTTATTTATGGAACATCAAAGTGACCCAAAAGGCAAAATCACTACTACTTTCTTTAAATCATTTTTTTTTTTTTTTTTGGGTTTTTCTAGCTACTTTGCTTCAGTGGAATGCTTAAGTTTCTAATTCACTTTTGAAACATTCAATTACCATGCTACTTTTGATGTGAAAACATTACTTATTGCGCTTGTTTAAATTTTGCCTAGACCACTTCAAACTGAAGCAGCTAAATCTAGCCAACGCCAGTAGTCAAAGTGGGTCCATCTCTAATGACTAAGCCCATACCAAAAGGAATTGGCCTGGGGTATGATAAAGGCAATGGGCCCATATCCTTTTTCCTATGCCTTTGGGGTTTTGTGTTGGCAGAGGAACGTAGGACTCTGACCAACTTCTTGGGGCCCAATTCTGTTTCTTGTTTTACTGAATAGTACTAATAACTGTCCCTCTTTTACAGCTAAATTTATTTTTTTACTCCCTCAATGTGTCTACTTTTTTATTGTTTTATATAAAGTTACATTCATCCTCTCTCATTCAATCTAAAAAATGACCCTTTTTCTTCATATTGAAAATGTGTCCTCTATAATAAACACATCCACCAATGTACCCAAAATAAAAATTGTCCACCCGCAATGATAACACAAAAGCTTTTCACCATGTGAATTGGAGATGCAAAAACCCAAAATTAGATCATCTGTAGAATCAAGCAAGTAAATAAATAACAATAGTAATCATATTCTAAGTTTTATGTCATGCATTGAGTCATAAGAGTTGTTATTTACATATCTTCTAAAACGAGCTTAATTCATTTGGTTTATCATTTAAATTTTAATACTTATAATTCTTTGTTTGTTCTTAAATTACGATTTTTTTATAAAATATATATATGTTACATATTTCATTTCATATAAAATTTATATTTGGGGTATTAAACCTTAAAATAACATTAACTTAATACTCAATGCAAGAATATCTGATGCGAAAATTTCGACTTTAATGAAATCTTATAATGAAAGAATGAAATTCATGAACAAAAGAATTTTTTTTTCTTGTGCAGCTTAAATTATACGAAAAAAATCGCCTAATAAAACAAAGAGAATTGTTCTTTGATCATCCCATTTGGTAGGGAAAGAAATTGCTGCATTCAAAGGGTAAGAAAGTTACCTAGTCAAAGAATATGGGCACCTAAAGTTGGATCATAATAATTGAGATCATCACACTTTCACATTTATTTCTGTTTTTTGGTTTGCCTTTTGTTTAACTATATCACTTTTTGAGAATTCATATGTCAAGATAAAGTGTAAGTGTGTGGGATTGAAATGTATGTACTGGGAACTACATGAACATTGTAGGAGAAATGCAACTTTTTTTTTTTTTCGTTGAAGTAGTCAGATTTTTCTGTCCTTTTCCTTACAATTTCTTTGGTTGGCTGCGTTTAGCTTTATTACAAATTTCTAACATTTCTGTTTAACTTTTTATCCTATTGTCCCTATAAAAAAAGAAAATAAAAAAGTATTATTTCATCCATGATAATTGATTTTTTTAAACTTTATCATCAGAGAAAGATAATATATATCCCTTTAATTTATAATAAAAATATATTTTTAATTTTTAATTATATTTGTGAAATTTAAAAAATAATCTCTCTAATTTTATTAGATTAATTATTACACTATTGTGATTACAAATTTACTACAACTATATGGGTTTCTGTTTGGGCCTACCGTGAACCGATATATGGTCTTGCTTTTGTTGCCTTAAAATCCATGAAACCAATTTCGAAAGAAAGAGCTTGCTCAACTCATGGGGCTATGGTGTCCAAATCCAATGACAGTGGCTCTCTTTCAGCAGCAGTTCAACCACTTTAGAACCCAATGAAATTGGACTTGCTTCTTCGGTCCTAGAAATTGATTTCTTATGAATTACCTATGGATGATGCGTCCATGGCCCAAATATAGTTTTTCCTTTTTCTTTTTTAGTTTTTCTTTTCATGGGAACTCATCCATAAGAAGGTATGCAATAAGTTAATCATTAGTCGTTAAGGAATGCAATAAAAACAGTTACAAGAGATCATTGTGGATCGAACTTCTAAATCATATATATTTCATCTTCACCACTCAAGTCCGAGCAAGCTATTGTATTCTTAAAATGCTTTTAAAGCCATTTGGATGGGCTGTTCAATGAAGTTTGCAATCACTAAAAATCGTCCGCTTCCATCTTCTCCTCACAATCCAAATTGGTAGTGTGTCTTTTCTAGAATACATCACTAAAATTCTCCTCTTTCTAACTATGTAAAGAATTTCCACCTTGTAATGTATATAGATAAATATTGAAAAAATAATTTTAATATCGATTTTTGGTTACAACCTAGTGAAGAAACAAAGAAAGTTAACAGGCATGGCTCACTGATACCTATGCACTAGATCGGAGAGTGTTACAATTCATTCCTCATCTACAGAAAAATCTGGCTCTGCTGGTTTCGGCAAGGAGCTGACAACCCCAGAACCGGATCCAGAATGCATATTAACTCCTCTCCTAGTGCTTGTTGCTAGCCTGGCTGCGTACGTAGCCACGCCTGAACCAGGTGGGGTTGGTTCAGGCTCAGGTTCAGGTTCAGCAGCCATGAGGTTCTCCTTAGCTCTAAGTTCAGCTGCTTCCTTTCGTTTCTTAAACCGACGCCATGCTGCTTGTATGAAGCAGGCAGCCCATGTTCTCCACTGGTGTGAGTAGAATCGAAATTTGTGTCTTAGTTGTTTACTATGTAGTCTTCTAAACTGTGATGCCACAAACTTGAGGTCTTCTGCTCTAAGAGCGAAGGCTTCTACTTCTGATATTGCTTTGACTGTGCGAGTTGAAGATGGGAGAATGACACTAGGCCGAGGATCCAAGGCCCATGTCAGTAGTTCCTCACCGCAGAAGTCGCCAGGGCCAATCCGGCATGAATTGAAGAATCCAGTGCGGCCACCATTGGTAGTGTGAGAATCTAGGTGGCCTCGAATTATGAAGAGCATCTCATTGACAGGATCACCTTCACGGACCAGGAATGTTCCTTCTGTGCACAAGGCAGGTTTAAGTCTCTCACAGATTGCATCTAGCATCCTTTCATCCATTTGATCAAACAGCGGTACCTGTTGATTTAACAAACAAAACTTACATATCAAACTCATTGTGGCAATTAAGAATATCTTCATTGCTAATTGTAGCCAATAATCAAAATGTTGGGTGAGGGTCGGGTGACTTACTCGTCGAACAAGATCCAGACAGAGGTGGCGTTTGATGTCTCTCCGGAGATCCAAGGGAAGGCCTTTAAGTAGAGCTTCTTCATCAACTCCTCTTGTAGCTACCCACTTATACTGATCATATCTTCTGACAGATTGCCTTAATTCAGGGGGAAGCTGCCTGTGACGCATCCATTGTTCTGTATCAGTTCTCTTGATTCTCCATTCTTCCAACCTAACAGTTGTTGATTGCAGGTATGTCTGAAAGTGAAATACGATAGAACTCAAGTCATGACATCAAATTTTCTGGGGAACTCCAGGATTATGTCCAACACTTCATTAGCATATGCTCAGCCTATATGCTATTAATCAATCTTTTTGAAACAAGCTAGATGCTTATTTTTTTTTATAAATAATGCTTAAATATTCAATAACATCAATTGGAGGACTTACTTGCATATTCCCAATCAGCAGTGCAAAGAGAACCAGCCCAACAGTTGCAATAATGATGGCAAAAATTATTTCTCCAACATAAGTGCTTGTGCTAAGATTTTGTCCCAAAGAACTGCACATAAGAGACAGAGCATTAGAATATAACCAATCTGTCTTCCCAATATTTTATCAGCAATAAATTAACTCTAAAAAGCCATAGCCATACTTCAGCTGTGCTTTAAATTCTTTTGAATGGGAGCCATTATGAAAGCTTGATGTAGTTATTGATATTTGATACATCAGAAAAAAACTAATCTTTAAAATCAGTTCAATCTATTGATACTTGAAGAATTTTTCTTCTTGTTTATTGAAAAAAAAATGGAAATCTTCTCAAAGATAAATGAGGATAATTTTATATGAACTTGAAAATTTTTGGGGAAACAACTTACCTCAAGTTCCTTAAACCCCACCAAAGGCAATAAAAGTACTTGTTGAAGAATGGTGAGGTTGTGACACCAAATGTCAATGCATCACCATATATACCAAACTCATAAAAGCTGGAACTTGGACTGCATAGGTTTGTAATATTGCTGGACCTCAACCAGTTACCCCTGCCAGGGTCTTTAACGCTGTGGCAATCAAAATATTTATACTGACAAGATGAATCTTCAAGATCACAGGCAGTCCTCCAGCAAGCTTCTTGTCGCTCTATTGCAAGAAGGTACCAGCAAGCTCCTAAAACCTTTTTAAGAAAAAAATACAAATAAGCAATAATAAGAACATAAACATTAGGAATTGATAACAGTGAACGAATTTTTTGCTGTTCTTTGTTTTTCTCATTTTCCACACTAAATATTGTTCATAAATAGTTGCAGAATCACAGTTGATCTTAAGAAGCATGTTAACAATAGGTTTCATAGTCACTTACATGGCTTGCCAGCATGTAGAGCATCAGGTTATAAGCAGCGCCTGCCCATGCTGTTTCTGTCACAACACCGGTGGCCTCGACAATTTGTGATGAGAGTGGAAATATAAGAAAAAGTCTCGGAAGGTACTGAAAAATAATTATGAACCGAAGCACGTTTTTGGTGTTTGTCATTGTTGAACCTTTAAGATTGGGAATGATGATCCAAATCAAAACCTGGAATAAAATGAAACAAATTAATGCCTTGAATTTACACATTAAAAAATACTATGAAAAGACCACCTATCACTTTCATCATGATATACCTGAGGCAGGGGGAGGGCAGCAATTAAATCAATCCAGAAACTCTTCTGAAGGTACCTGGAAGCAATCTTCCTGGAATCTATAACAAGCTCTCCTCTTCCAAATACACGAGAAGGAGGAGCAATGTAAGCTGTCCGAAATCGAATGAATATCTGAATTATATAGAAGGCATCAGCCAATGATCTAACCATAGTGAGGACAACTTCAAGTGGTATTCCAATATCAATGCAGACTTCATCCCAAACTACTGGCAAAAAAAAGAACAGAGGATCCACAAACAATGAAACTAAGCATGCTACTAGAAAAATCTTGTTCCATCGGCGAATAATTGGTCCTCGAGGATCCAAAATCTTCTTCTTTACTCTCTCAAAGTCTTCTGAGAAAACTCTGTACAGTACTTTAGTTTTTAAGGATTTTCCTGTCCCACTACTAGGTAACTCCTTCTCAGCCCTTTTGGTGCTAGACTCTGATATTTGCGTTCCATCAATATTGTATTTCAGCTTTATCATACCTTCTCCATTAATTGTGGGGAGCTTTGCTAATTTAAGATCATCTTGAAATCTGAAAATATAAATGAAGCCAATAATCAATGATTGTTTCATTTCTGGTTGAACTATTAACTTATGTAAAAGCAAAGCTAATGTGATGATATATAAAATTGAAATCATAGAAGAAATCTTAATAGAGACATTATAGAACAAAAATGGAACAAACCTTACAGATCTTGAATTACCAAACCCCATAGCTTTTCTTCCAATGTTGTTGCCGACGTTTCAGTTGTTAGATTTGATCTGTAACTGGACAAGAGAGAAAGGCAAAGATGTTTAAAACATGGCCGGCTGAAAGCAAACACTTTACATATATCAGGTCGTGATTCAACTAAAGTTGACTAGGCAAGTCGCAAGAGCTCAAAGCCACAAGAGAAGAAAAGGCCCTTTAATGGCTTCTTGAACCAGGAATAATGTGACCGATGGCATAAAAGATAACTCAACTTGAACATGAAGCAGCTATAAAGACAATCCTCCCCCTTTTTAGGCCAAAAGAGCTGGCCAAAACATGTGACCAATTTCTTTAAGTCTTCATAATGGGCTCCTTTCAGACCACCATAGAAAAATATCTAGTTTTCCATATTGTCAGTACGAGTTGAAGCAGGAAATTATATCAAATAGCCATAAACCATCTGTATAACTATCCGTATATATCAAATCAAAATCAAACACCCAAAATTAAAATTTTGATACCTTTCCTTGGATTAAAAGTCACACCATTTAGAAATTTGGTCAGCAAGATTCTAACGGAAAAATGGAAGATAATACATTGAGCATGACAATAAATCAAACCATGGCTATTATTTTCTTGATTTATTGATTTTAAAGGAAGTCTTAGCAACATACAGGGAATAGCACTTCCAGTTGCTACCAGAAGACTAGAGAAACAGCAAGAAAGAGCTTACAAGCACAAGGCAAAACCATGTCAAATCCTGAAATTCAGTTTCCAACTGATCTGATGATGATGATGATGGTGATGATCTCTAAGAAATGAAAAGAGTACGCCAAGAATTCTTTTTTTTTTATTATTATTATTTTCATAAAAATCATTTACAATAATTGAAAAGAATCTGGAAATGGAAAGTTTAAACAACACTTTCCATAGTTAGAACAATGAAGAGATACCCTTCTCCTTATGCTCGCCTATAATTTATGGAGTTTCTATATTAACAAGTTTAAGTAACTCAAAAACCAAAAAATTTCGAGAAAGTGACACGGAGAGTTTCTATCCAGTAAAACGCTGCATTTTTTATTGCCAAACATTGAAAGAAAAAGATAAAAACAATAGAAATTGTTTTACTTTGCTGAATTTTTTAATAATCAAATTATTAATAGGAATAAAAAGTCAGAGAGACAGAACCATATGAGTTTGTCCAAAGATGTTATAACAAATAAGGAGAAGAGGGTTCTGTTAACGTCTATTTAATTTATTATATTATTATTATTTTTTGTTATATTTATTTATTTATTTTAAGATCCGAGGAGTTGCCCACGTTAGATTCGGATGCCTATGGATTCTTGACACGTGTCTGTCCAGTGCTGTATGGTAAGTTTAAACTGGAAGATCTTAGTAATAGAATTTTTTTTTCAACTTTTTTTGCCAAGTTTTTGAGAAAATTATTGAAAAATTCAAATTTTTTTTTTTTGGATAAAAGAGGATTTTATTCAAAGTTTTCAAAATATTAATATACTACGAAACAAATAAGTGAAATAAAGCTACAATAAATGTAATTTTGTTGACTTATATATCAATTTTCATAAAAAATTGTGTCCAAATAATAAAAAATATTTTTCATCCCGAAAATAAATCTCTTTTTGATGAATTAATTTCAAAGTAAAGCCTTTTTTTTAAAGTACTACAGTAGTTTTTCTTTAGTTTAATTAAATGAAATCTTAAAAAATATTACTGAAATGCCATTTGATGATGAACTCATCGCATGACGATAATGTGATAAAAAACCAATAGGTGGAAGAAATCTAACAATAGAAAGGGAAGAGTTAAAAAGGATTTCTTAGCCCAACCGAATTGACTTTCGGCATGGCTTTAGAGGTGGCCCCTTTCACCTTTTAACCTTTAAGAACTGGCATCACGATAAGTAGTACGGCAAATTAACTTCTCAATCCTTGCTGCATAAGATTTGTTTTTCGGTACATGAACCTTTCTTTTTCACTTTGACAAATTTTTCCTTCCATTCACAGGATTTGAATTCCAGGCTTAAATTAAAATCTACTCCCAAGTGGCAATTACTAGATTTGTTGTTATTTGGCAGTACATATAATTTTCAGAATATCCAATCACCATGTAATCTAAAGAAGGTTCTTTTGTCTTTTGTAATGCGTAGAAAAGTATTACAATTGTTGGTGCCAATTAATTGGAGTTTGAATTGATCAACATATCAAATTGTTAAAAAAAAATGTTAGATTTAAAACTTTGAAATCTATTTTGACATTTAAATCAAATTATGTGTATCTGATAATTAAAATGTTAATGACGTGAATTAACTTATAATATATTGATGATCGAATGATGAAAAAAATTCATTGAAATTAAATTTTATGATTACCTTAAGAGAACAATATTTCTAAATCCTATTAAGTTTCTAAGTAAAATAAAGACAAATTTTTTCTGATACGACTTATTTTATTATGAACCTGACAATGAACCTGACAATGAAGTATGAACCGCCATTTCAATTTATCCCTTTCATTCTTGTTTGTCATCTTATTTTATTCTTTCTTTTTTCATTAATTACTAATTTTTTTTGGATAAGCTGACCCCACATCATCTTGCGAAATTGAATGAAGCAGAAGAAAGAACAAGTCACCATTGAAGTCACAGGTTAACATTGCTTGTAAAAAGGGTTTGGTCACCAGCTTGACCCTGTCTTCCTGTCCTTCACTCTGTTTGTGACGGTGCAGACATTTTCCAATCTCCATAAATTTCAAACAACTTTTTTCTTCTCCTTTGTTCCTCTAAAGTCTTGCAATTTCAATCAGTTCACACTGCCAGCTTACGCTCACCAACCACATTTTTTTTTTAGTCAAATCATGAGGATTACATGGCAAAGTTAATTGATACTAACTACTGCTTTATTAGATCGAATCCGACAAGCCAGCGAGATCTCACCCCTTACCAGCTTGATTTTCATAGAATATCTTGCATCCTTATCCCAAACATCAAATTTTCATTAAACTATAATCTTAATTAATAACAAATACCGAATACACGAGAGAATGTATATCGTTTGAGAACAGAAGTTCAAACAAAATTTCAAACTATCTTTAAACGTATTATGAGAAAAAATATTATATATATTAACTAGTTCATGTTTAATTAGGGATGAAAAGAATAAAGAGAACTGAGAGGATTTTTTTTTTTTTTTTTGTGATTCATTCATGGAATCAAACCGGATATATGAAAAGAAACAATACTAGGAGATCAATATAAATATAAAAATTAGTACTAAAATAAAAAAAAAATAGCCACAACGTGTACTCATAATTAAAGTTTATTGTATGTAATATATATTTTTTCAAAACTGATGATTTAACTGGCAGGATGAGGGCAGCTCAATGTTCTACGATGGTACAGAAGCAGGGAAGAGCCCAGCTCCTAGAAATTAAATCATGGACATTCATATTTTGTAAGCTTGATTTAACTAAATAGCTCCACATTATGGGGGCCACACAGATCTTTAAATGCTATGCATGGATCAAAAATGCATGACCCACACTTCTTCGATAGATAATAACGTACCAATTCTATTATATGATTTTCTTTAGTCACTTCAAATGTATATCCAGTCGCATGGTTATACATTTTTAACATTTCTTGTAGTTATGACAGTTTCACAAGTTGCTGTTACATTTCTTTTTTAATAGCACGAAATGGATTGTTAATTTGTGGTAAACTTATCACCGGGGACATGATATACCTGCAGATTGGTTAGACTTGCCATTATTGATTTTCATGTCCCCCCATATGTGCCCGACTGGTTATATATAGTATAAGGCTGTAGTTAGAATTTTGATCTTTTTATGGGGCATAAGATTTCGTTCATCCAAGCTTTCAAGGATACATGGCCATTGATTTAGTTCCACCCCAACCACCTGCAAGGAAAATGACTACTCACAGCAATCTATGTTCTATCCTGCTAGGCCTGAACCTGGGCTGAAGCACCAGATGGTGGGATAAACAGCATTCACTATCAGCTCAGCAGTCTGAAGTATTTGCTGATGGTATGACCAGCTGCCAGGGCCTTCAGTGTATTTGGCCCAAACAAAACAAAACAAAACGAACCCCACAACCATTAAGAGAGATCAACATTTAATCATATAGGAGTGGGGAGGTTCTGCATTCCACTTACATTGTCTTCAAGAGAAAAACCTGAGGATTGATGGTTTGTCAGCATCTCCCTTTACAGAATAGCAACTACGGTATGTATTTACAATGTCAGAGAGAAATCCAATTTAGGACATGCCTGCCGCTTAAAACTACTCCTCATATAATAGATTCTTAGTGGAATTAGGAATAAATATAAACAACATTTGAAATGAAGCGAACTAAACTTAATTATCATGTTCTCATAAAGTCTGCATAAGTTACCAAAGAAAAGGTCGAAAAGAAAGGGAAAGAAAGATTGTACTGTGAAAACAAAATTAAGATGCTCATCTTCTTTCTACTCTTGTGAAGCGGATGCAGCTTCCTTCAAGCATGACCTCATGACTTTACCAAGCTTATCGCAAGCATCAAGGCAAAGCTGCATTGCCTGTACATAGAAGCAATATTAGAATTGTTAGCCCCATAATGATAGCATTTTGCTTTGCAGGAGTCAGTTGCCCAAATTTTCATAACATCTTGAAGGAGCTAACATGCAAGTCAAAAGAAAGAATATGTATTATATTACCTCATTAATATCTGGGGTTGACCATTCTCCTGTAAATGTTAGTTGCGTGACCTCATAACGAGAAGGCATACATGTAAGCATTAAACTTCCATCTTGGTAGCTTTCCTCTTCAAGAATAGGATCAATCACAAGGTTTTTCCCTAGACAGGACTAGCAACCAAAATTATGCATCAGTGCAGCAAGTAACATAGAGAAACATATACGGAAAGAGAAGTTCTTTACAGTGGAAATCACTAAGTGGTCTACATCAGTCTTCAAGGTTAAAAAGGACATATCCATTCTATAATGGGTGTGGAGAATGGCATCATGTTCATGCAGAAAAGGACAAGCTTCTGACTATTGATGCTGTTGTTAAAATTTTCCAATTTGTAGTAATTCATTATCAATCCCACTTTCCTTGTTACAGAATTTCTACCACCTACAACATTAAGTACAAGACCAAATTCGTTGGCATGTAACTGATATATTGACACTAGCACAGCATCAATAATACCATGGTTGTAATATTTACTAGTTCAGATAGCGAGTCAAGTGCATAACAAAACAGCCACCCTGCTGAAGCAAAGTGAAGTGAGTAATGATCATAATGCTTGATGCTCAAGTGTAAAACATGCAAAATGAAACTTACCACAGAAACTGCAGCAACAAGGTCATACATCATGATCCCTGCATCTGCAAGGGCAAGACTAGCACATGATATGACTACAGGAAGATCACCTGCAACCAATGTTATGAAGCTTATAAAAAAATGGCAATATCTTGTTTAGGGCATATCCATTGCCCATAAAAATTTTCATCAGGACTAAAAAGATGAAACTTTTGACACTCTAAAATCATCTACAGTATTATGACATATCTATGATAAGTTATTCACTAAAATGACCATGATTTGAAAGTTGAACATAACTAATTGCAATAAACCAAGAACCGAACTTATGAGAGAGACCACAAGAAGGATCTAAAGAATACACAGGTTAAGAAATGTAAGAAATTTGAGAAATTTTACCAAGAAACTTAAAGCAGAGAGTGGATAAAACATATTGATAAACTAATTCACATGGCATAAAAAACAGAACATCATCAGTTATGCTAGTGGATCCTCATTTACACCAAGGATGGAAAAAAGCTTGAGCAAATTATTCTTGCCAATGTCTATATTTGTTTCTATGAACCACTAGCCACACCCCAGCATAAAGGCAGAAAAGAAAAGGCACTGAAAAAAGAATCCGTACCAGAACAAATAACAGGCCAACTTGATTACTACATATCAATAAGTAGGAGTGTAAACAATTAGAACCTTTGATGAACAATTCGTAAACATATTATGTTTTTGTTCGCTTATATTCGTTTTTTAAGCTTAACAAACAATCACAAACAACATTTTAAGATTCGTTTCTTAAACGAACAGATCACAAACATAACAAAGTTCATTCATGTTTGGTTCAATTGTGAAAACTAATAGAGTGTTCGATGAATAATTCGTGAACGCATTCAATTTCTTTTCGTTTATATTCGTTTATTAAACTTAACAAACGATCACGGACAACATTTCCTGGTTTGTTAATTAAATGGGCAGATCATGAACATAGCCATTTTCATTCATGTTCAGTTCGTTTACACCCCTATCAATAAGAAGACTTACTGCCCCCAGATTCCAAGACTAAGGCAAAAACATCCACGGTGGTCTTGGGGAACGTTTCCAACATTATTGCACCTTCCAAAGATTTATGAAGCATTGATGAAAACTCTTTGTGGTCTGAACCCTAAGGAAAATGAGATCAAGAAATAGAATCAATTAAATTGGAGAAAAGAATTAAAAAGGAGATAAAAGGATTAGATCAAATATGTTTTGTATATAATCTAATAGCACCTCAAAAAAATTCACACTTCTGATCATCTCACATACCTGTCCTCGAACTGGAGTGGCAAATGTTGTATAGCTGACATTACAATTTAACCGCCCAGTATCACTGTACATCATCGCTTTCTTACTTTCTCTTGGCCCAAATCTAAATTGTTAACACCAATAACATGTAGAATAATCAGAGGAAAATTTATCAGTATTTGAAAAAAATTTCACTAATGAAAGCATAGGGTTGTAAAATCCCAAAAAAGGATATCAAGAAGAATATGACAATTTTAACACAGATGATATACTCACACAGACACAATAACCTTGGTATTTCCAAACTCCGCATAAGCAGATCCAGAAGCAGAATTAACTGCACCTGTCCTGAAAACTGCAAATCACCACATTTGAGGATTCCTTTCAATTCAGCACATCACAATCCAACAAAAATATCAATGTGAAAAAGGTTATGATATGAAGAATGGGCCATATATCTTTTATAAGAATCCATCTTTCTTAGCTTCTAGATGCCTAAAAACTATAAGAAAATCAGTGTATCATGGTAGTAATAGCAATTGATGATACCATGACATGACAACTGAACAACTATGGAAACTTTATAGTCTCTTTTATCATAAGCATGAATATTCAAGATAGAGCAGACTGGCACAAGCCATAACAAAACATGAAGAAGCAAAACCACTTAACTTCTCATTGCAAAAACCTTCTTCTAAAGAGCAATGGAGAACACTTGACTATTTCCAAAAGAACACGCAGCTGAAGCATAACTAAACAGAGAATAAGAACAAAGACAAGCCTTTTAACCCTATACTAATTCAAACGGAAAAACTTGAGCATACCCCAGGGAATGAATCACAATAACAAACAGAGAGAGAGAGAGACACACACACAAAAGAATAAAGCAATCTTTTTTTAAGGATGATTATCAAAGAGTCAAGAGACAGCTTATCAACACATTTGAAAAAGAAAAAAAAAGAAAACTCCAAAGTTTTCAACTTTATTGGCAACAAATACAACATGCAAAACATGATCAAAAAGTAAAATCAAAACCCGCTAGCTATAACCATGATAACATTAAACCCAAAAAGAAAAAACCCAGAAAATAAAAGCTAAAAAAAGATAAAGAACAGAAAGGTTTAAAAATTAAAAAAAAAAAAAAAAGGAGCTTACATGCAGGTCGGCACTGGTGAAAGCCGCGGCCATCAGGTCGGACCCAATCCAGATCGTTGTCTTTGAAAATAGGTGGGCGAGTTTTTGGGCCCGGATTCGGGGGATACGTTGTCGGAACTGAACCAGGTTTTGCGGCCATGCTTTTTCTTCGTCCTGTTTCTCCTCCACTGTTTTAGTTTCAGTCGCAACTCTGCTCCATTTTCAAGTTGCTCCAGGTTTTATTGTACCTGCTGCCAGGTCAAGACGCTGCGTTTTGAAGGGGAAACCCAATACTCCTCGCACTATTGCTCCTTTAAAACGGTGTCGGTGGGGGTGATATTTGAGTACCTAACTTTAATGACGCAATTACCCTTACATTGCCCTTTGCTTGGTTGGAAAGAAAAAGAGAAAAGAGAATCATAGTTAGAGTCTTAGCGATTTAATTGATTGTTATGTTGACGGTCCCATTAGAGGATTTATATTAACATTGATAACCAGAGCAAGTCATTTGAGCACAAGACAATCCAAGTTTTGTTATTGTGCTTTTTTTTTTTAAAATTTTTTTAATAAATCTTGCTTCTATAATTGTTTTTACTTTTATTTATTTTAATCATGTAGGTTTACAATTTTAAGTACATAATTATGTGATAAATAAAAGAAAAAATTTCTTTTAAAAAAAAGAAAAAAAAGCCCTAAATCTTAATCCAACCAATTCAATGATTAATAACTTTTTGTATTTAAAATCTAACATTTGGAAATGATTATAAAAAATTTAGAGATTTTTTTTTTTTTTTACAAAAAATGTGGAATCAGATAAAATGAAAAATTATATATATTTAGATTTGAATCTTAAATTTGTTAAATGTTGGTAATTGTATGTACTAATTAATTTAAATATTGAATTTATATAAAAAACTTATTAATATATATAGATTAAGAATAATTTTATATGTTGTAAATGATCAATTTTAATTATTATATGTATAATTATACATAAATACTAATATTATATTATCAAAGGCAATTCTTGCATGTTGATTCAGTTGTGTTGATGCGTAGAAACATGGCAACTAGGTTTTTCTTAGTTGATATGCTTGAATCAAAGTCTATTGTTCAAGTTTCCAACTCCATTATTATTCAAGGCATAAGAATGAGAAGCTAAAATTCTTTCATTTTGCAACTTTAACATCAGCAGATACATAAGAATGAAGAATGAAAACAAGAAGAATCATTTCCAACAAGTTCCAATCCTTAAAAATGCACAATTAAAAAGAAAAAAAAAAAGAAATCAAGGACGCTTAAAAGTCACGTCAAACTTGCTAAAAATATAGGCAAAACAGATGGGGAAACTTCGATCTGTTCTTTTTCTAATCCTTGAACAATTGCATCTCTAAGGAGGAGGTGGCCCGGGCTCAAAGAGTGGGGGGAAGCAACTTCTAAATATACCACAGCAGCACAGAAACCACAAACTGCAATAAAATGAGGAAAGAATACGTCAAATTTTACCATGTTTGTTTCTTCGTGCAGAAGTAACATGCAATACTAGGGGAAACAGCTTACCATGATTCCAAAAACCCTTGATCCGGAGGCATCGGAGCTAGCAGTGGTGCAGTTGATGGTGGAGGTGGATCCATCGCTGACTTTGGAACGTTGACGGTGGTTGTAAGACCTTGGAAAGAAGGCTTAAATTTGTGAGGTTATTATATGTATTGATGAACCTTTATCTTCTTTTCTCAAAGTCCTATACCAACTACCGTTCAAAGGGAGATTCCAGGTCTGCCAAAATAGATACCCAACTAACACATGAACAATGTTACTCTAACTGCTGTTAGACTTGCCAAACGTCTGAAACCTACAGCAGTTGGAAAGGATGAAAATGAGGAAGATCATTACCGTATAAACCTACTGCATTGGATATTCCAGATGAGAATGAGTTTAAATGACCTTAAACATCATGATGTTTGATGCCAACTCATCTGGTTAAAGCTCAGATGATGGAGAAATATGACAGCTACCTGAAGTAGAACTGATTCTCCTGCATGTCCAATTAGAGCATATGTTGCAAGTCTAGTCATCAACTGCTTTTGTGTGCATTGGCTATTAGATTCATGCTAAAAAAGATCGGTGCCCCTATCATCTACGGTAATGTCTCCAATCTCATATATCAAGATGATGTGTGGATAAGAAATGATATATATGTAAAGATTTAATTTCAATTTGTGAAATATTTTTTGTGAAACAAAACCTTAAGAACTTCGGGTTAAAACGAATAATACCTCTCAGGTTGAGTACAGATCTCCACAAATAATATCAGAACGATCACCAATCCGCAATCGTGAGAGTGATTAAGTGCTACACGATGAAACTGTAGGAATCACTAAGTGTTACAAGATGATCTGGTGTGATCTTGATCTTGTGGATGGACTCGGATTGATAGGGACGGTGAAAAGATTGTAACGCCCCCAATCCCACATCAGGATGATGTGTGGATAAAAAATAATATATATGTAAAGTCTTAATTTCAATTTATGAGATCTTTTTTATGGGACAAAATCGTGAAACCTTCGAATTAAAACGAATAATACCTCATAAATCTTCATATCTACAGACTTCAGATGATACGAATTTTCATTTTTGTACAATTTTCTGTACATAGTCATGAAAAGAAATCAAGCACAAACTATGACCTAGCACTGACACAACCTGTGTGTGGCCTATTCTTCAAAATAACCTCCCAACAAATAAAAAATCAAATGGATATTTTCTCAAAACCCTACTCGTCCCTTCTTAGAATACACAGCAGATCGAAACCAAAAAGCAAACTTGTGTGCAAAATATGTTAATTCTGTCAGTAGGGATAGTTCTTCTCAAGGGGACTTGACATTTGCCATTTGGAACGATTCAAACCGAGGCTTTGTTAAGTCTACTGCTTCATCATCAGGGACACGCCAACTCCTAGCGTTGGAACTCAAAAGAACCAGCCTCTCCATACACTCAGCAGAAAGGGTACCTATTTGTTTGCCGATGATTCCAATACCTTCCATACCTAATGGCAGTGAGCTCTCCGCTGACTCAACAGACGTAGTTGGCATGTGCTCTTCTGTGTCATATAAAGCCTCAATTACACTTTGATGTCTTTCTACAAGAGCTTCATTCTTCATATTACAGGTGGATGACATCTAAACAGTTAACAAAACAGGCAACATTATTGGGTTAATTTAAAAAGTCAGCAGACATAGCAACTATCATATTATTTGGTGTATTCCTCTTGATTATAATGAATGAGACCAGTAGTTTTCATTGAATGGTACTACAGACCATTATTCAACTTTACTACTTGAGTCTCGAAACTGTTATCTGAAAATCATAGAGCAAAAGCAAAAAATTCTCAAGCATTAACTTCTAAACGGATTTAAGAACATTACCTGGAAAAAATTTACAGGAATATTTCTTCTTTTAGATTTATCTGGAGCAATAGTTGAGAGGATTTGCACAACCTCACTCATTGTTGGTCGAGCATCAGGGTCCAACAGCAAGCACTCCTTTGCTAGGTAAGCCATTATCTGCATCTCTTCATCGGGGAAATTCCCTTTTAAACGTGGATCAGGTAACTCTGAGGTCACTCGCTTACTATCCTGTAAGCGAGGGGTAGCCTGAATGGGACAAAGTTTAGAGAAATGTTTTAAGCATCACATCAACCAACATCCGGATATTTTAGCACTGCATGAAAAAGAGGAGAAAAAAGTAACTGCTGCTTAAAGAAGTAACATGAAACAAGCTACTTCACCCATATAACAAGACTTTCTTGTTTATTGTTTGATTTATGGATGGGTTGACGACCAGTGATCAGTTCCAGAAGAACTACACCAAAACTGAAAACATCTGACATAAGTGAGGCTTTTCCAACAATTGCATATTCCGGGGCAAAATAGCCAAAGGTTCCCTGCATTCTTGGTGGAGAACTGGAACAGCTGGGAAGTCCATCAGCTCTTAAACGTTTGGCCATACCAAGATCAGTTATCTGAACATGTTCGTTATTTATGTTAGAAACCAATATGTACACAAATGTGTGAGAAATTAATGTATGTGTTTAGCATATCAAGGTTGCTCAATATGCGTTTATTTCTTTATTAGTTTTCTCCTGACATTGTATAAAATATATTTTAGTCAACACTATACTTGGTTCTTTTCCTTTTTTCCGCAGCTTAATATTTGTATCAGAAGTCTAAAAGTAATCATCCTTACTTTTGCTCTCCAGTTTTTGTCCAGAAGAATATTTGTGGATTTTACATCTCTATGCAAAATTCTAGGAGCAGCAGCTTCATGAAGATATTCCAAGCCCCTTGCAGCACCAATTGCAATTGCAACACGAGTTTCCCAGGTCATGTTCTCCCCCAAAATCCCATTCAAACAATCCCTCAAATTACCGTTAGGCATGTATTCAAATACCAGCAATCTCTCAGCATGTTTCCCACTGAATTCTGAACAGTAGCCGAGCAAGGGCACCACGTGACAATGATGTAGCCTTGACAACAGCTCAACCTAAGCAAAACAATACTGTAAAATAACTTATTGTGTTTTTGAGAGCAACATAAAATCTCTTGTTCCAAAAACAAAATGAGTTTTCATTAACCAAAAATTTTAGGGAAAAAAAGGAAGGCAAGTTGAGATTGTACCTCTGTTGAAAAGATGGAATCTGCATCCGGGCCTCCATGGATCTTAAGTCGCTTCACTGCAACGATTCTTCCATCCTTGAGCTGGCCCCAGTACACATAGCTACTTCCTCCGAGTCCTATGAGGTTGGAACTGGAGAACTTATTGGTTGCATTTTCCAGTTCAGTGTAGGCAAACTCGCAAATTGTTCCAAGCATAGTCCCTGTTTTGCTCCGGCAAAGGAATGAAGCCTTTTGAAAGCATCCTGAAAATAGACAAGATGTCATGCTTAACATATCCAAACCAAGTTCAGAATAAGAATGCAGATGAAGTATTCAAGGTTGACAATCAAAATAAATTCTGAGAGCTAACAGGGTAAAAAATGGTTGATGGTGTAATTCGATCTCAATTAAAAGCATATCAAGTTCATCAAAGAAGGGGAAGTTATAACATGTTACAGCGTACATACCTGCAATAGGTTTAGTAGGGAAGCTGATGTTAACCTTAGTTTCTGAAACCAAAGATGTCTTATTACTTATTAAGTTGGTAGCACTGTTGCAACTAGTTTCTTTATCTGATGAGAATGTCGGCAGTTGGATGGGGCACTTTGGGCACTTGTCCTTCCGATAGAAATAGCATGTTATCGAAGCAAGGAATGCCAGAGTTGTGAGAATTACACAGAGTAATAGAATAATCACAACAAGTCTGTTAGCATAGTGCTTTCTTGAAGCTGGCGCCTCAGGAAGAGACCCTGTCAAACGATAAAATCAAGCGCCACTAAATAAGCTCCCAATCCTTATCTCAACACCAGCCAATTTCTTTGAATAACATGCCATACTACCATAGTTGAAAGACTAAATATGCATTTAATCTAAAACTTGCTAAAATAAAAGGAGGGAAAAGTTTATGTCCTCTATGTCATCTAAAATTTTGTTCTAAGCTCTTTCCATCAAAACCAGACAAAATGTTTATGGTTCATGGTACATACAGCAGCCGAACTATTGAATTCTTAAGAATACATATTTATGTTTGGAGTTGGAAGAAAATACCAGCAGTGCAGTTGCAGGCAGTAAAACAAGTATTATCATGATTGTTGACTGTTACTTTTGGGAATCCATCAGTAGCACATAAACATGTCCATTTATCTCCACTTGGTTCAACTGCCACATAAGGTGCCACACAATTTGGTGTTTTAGATACAACAAGATGGTGATAAAGTTCCACAAAAATGCTGGATATTACGTAAAGCATGAAGAATCCTCAACACAATATACTCAAAACTTATGCAATAATTTGGGTAGATTGGGAGGAGAAAAGGGGGGAAGGGGGTGGCATATTATACAACAACAAAGTCTATTTGTCTAGCCACATCTTATGTAAAAGATTCTATGAACAGCCCCTGTACATCATTTCAAAGGAGAAGAAAAGATGGATGGTTACAAACTAAATCCTACTTCAGAGTCTACAGCCAATCATGAAAAATGTGAATTTACTCAGGCTTATTTAACCCATTATCCTCTATTCTCTGCGAAAATGTTAGTGCTTAGGAATTTTCATGAGACTGTCACTTCAACAAAGCAAAGGGATAGGCACGTCGGTGAATTTTGAGAGTTAATAGTTAAATAGAAATAGTAACATCTTCTATCAATTCCTAGCACCAGCAGAATCATTCCATCAAAATAAAATCAGCATACCTGGATTGCAATCACAGGATCTATAACAGTTAGATTTAAGAACATAGCTCTGGTTTCCTTGATAAAATGAAGAGCATGTGCATGTCCAGTTGTTTAAGCCTGATGTATTAGAAATTTTATCTGCCATGAAATGATTACAAGGAAATTCAGCCAAGTAGCAATAATGTAAATAGCAAACAAACAATGAGAAACTCTTTTTAACATTGACTTTTCGATAACAAGAATACAACTTATCCCAAAGAAAAAACAAGGACTGAGAAGCATTTACAAGTCGACAGGTCTGCAAATGCTTAAGAAAAGTTGTAAACTTTGGTTGCCAACACATCTCCAGGCAAACACCTCTCAGTTAAGGTAGCCTTCTGCTGGAGGTTGGTAAGCCAGACTTTTAAGTGTAAGGTAAGATCAAGCTAAAGTGCACCCAGAACCCAGTATTTCCAATGGTAATACGGTATTAAAACCAAAATAAAGAAAAATGGAGAAAGAAGGAGAGAAAAAGACAGATGTAAAAAAAGCTTTATTCATACTAACCACAAAGGCCTTGCTGAATCCAAATCAAGCTAAAGACGCAAGCAAAAGCAACTTCCACTTTGAGCTTCATTTATTACAATCTGAACACTAAGCTGGAGAAAAACCATATAGTTATATCTATGCTATAATTCCAGATTAAATGTCATGTACTGCTTCAACAAAGTATAAATTGACAACAGAAGCAAAGTAATTTAACTGAGAACAGAGGATACGGTGGATATATCCGGATTCCCTTGAATTTGCAAAACCATACTAATTCTTATTCTATAAATTGCTTTGCAAAACCATACTAATTCTTATTCTATAAATTGCTTTGCAAAACCATACTACAAGCAACAAATTGGTCGAGTTATTCCGAGTCTGTGTGAACCAAATGCCAGACTCCAGCTTCATTCAGTTTGATTATTTAGTTCTACCTACATATATAGTCATCATGGTCATTCCAACAATCTAAATTCATGCAAAACCTTGGTTTTTGCAGGAAAAGAATAATCTAAATCTATGCAAAACCTGGTTCTCAGAAGCATAACTAACGTGAAATAATAAAACCAACAAACAGACAAAAAAATGAAAAGAAAAAACTCCTAAATCATATACATAGTACATGCTACATATATAAACCTTCATTAGAGGCAGGAGGACAACCGGTCAAACTTCACTGATCTTAAATGCCTCCAATCTGTAGAAAACAAATGAGAACCAAAAGTTTGAAATTGATGTGACAAAGACGAAGGGTAATAATTGAATCAAATGATACCTTAAATTTGCATATGGCAAGAGATTGGCTTGATACTAAAGCTGAGATAACAAATAAAATGGTTCAGAGAGTGAAAGATGATGTAAGATATAGCATTGGAGTCTGAAACTAAGTAAAAAAAATGCCCCTACATTCATACCCAGACTCTAGATGGGATGTCCAGAATATAAAAACTATAAATAAATATAGGTATTGCCAAATTCATGGTTGGCCAACAAACATCTTAGGCTGTTAAATCTAATTTTTTCAACCCTTCCCCAAGGCGGTCAATTCAAGCAAAGCAAGCAAGCAAGGAACAAGTAATACGATGTTCAAATACACTCAATACCGGTATTCTCTACCAAAATTCTATAACAAACTTCACAACATTCATTAGTATTTAGTATCTGTCTACAGTCCCAGAGAGAGCAACACTCCAGAAAAAAAATCTGAAGGCCTGCAATGCACAAGCGTCCAAGAGGGAAAACATATAAGGTCACCTAATTAGGAGCTGTTATTACTGTACAGTTACTTCAAATATTAAATACACATGGTCTACAGGGCACACACTGACTGTCAAAATAATGGCATCAGAGACCTTCCTCTACCACTCCAGCTGCAACTGCATTAATGGAGTAGAAAAGACACCTATAACTAGAAAACCTAAATATGATTTGTTCCTAGAACTTCCAAACCATGAAACCAACATGCTATTCCAATCCACCTTGTTTTTAAACAACCCAAGAAGTTATAATTAAACTTCTTTTAGAAGAGAGTACAAAAACTGGATAAATAACTGGAATGTTTAAGTTCAAACCTGAGTATAAAAGGCAAAAGCTGAAGGAAAACAAGCCAGTGTAACCTCCAAGAGAGAAGCCCAAATGAATGGATGATTGATTATTCTTAAATGCTAGCATACCAATCAGAATCAATAGTAATTAAGTTGAAGACCCAAAAAAATAAAAGTTTGAACTTTGCAATGTAAAGAGACATATAACAGTACATAGAAAAAAGGGACAAAGACTGATGATGTTTTGATTAACATCAAGCATTCAAGAACCAGAATAGGAACAGAAAACAAACCCATCAACCACCTCTCTGAAAACCACCCAGTTGCCTACATGAAAATGACTTATCAACCATTTCTGCCTTCGGGATTAATGGGTTCTTTGTAAAAAAATTAAAAAATTAAATAAATTTTAGAACCTTGCCAAGTTTCCAACGGTTAAAAAATATGAATGGAAGAACATGGCTTAGCTTCGAAGCTCAAAGACATAGACTGGCATACGCTGTCACTGAATACGTTGGGGACTGTTAAAGCCACGTTTGTAAAGTTAGAACTTCAACGCTGTTAGAGGTCCCACTTTTTGTCAAGCATCTGTGTCCGGATTTTGCGTCATTTGTGGGGGCTGAAGTTGGCATGTACCGTTGGATCAAAGAATTACAATCATTATGATCACGTGGTTTAGATTAGATCCCTTCTAAGATTGATTATAGGTAATCTAAACGTCATTTGATTAATATACCATCAAAATTGTAATTACTAAAAAAATCAAAAGCTAAAAAGTTTAAACAAATAATGAAAATTTGCCATACCTAAACAATCAGCTTTGAGAAAATAATGGCTTTATGTCATTCAGCTACGGAAAATAAAATATTTTTATGACTTTATATGTAATTTATCTCTTAAATTATATAATTTTTATAATTTAATACCCATGAAAAATCCAAATTAAACACTTAGATTTTATTATAATTCATCATTTTGTTTTAATCGTTATTTTTGTTAACGGTAAATTTAGATGATAAAAAATAATTAATAATAACGAATTATCATTGATATTATTTGAATCTAAAATTTTTTCATTAAAAAAAAATTTAATCGATTGAATCAATTATTTATTAGTGACTAACTATTAACATTTTTATAAATGAGTGTTATCTGAGTACCACAAAAACATTTGTTATTATTATAATTTTTAATGTATTTAAATTTATAAAATTAATCACCAATTATTGTACTAATATAAAATACTATTATAAAAAAATGAGATAATTTTTCGGTCATTTGACTCTTGACCGTAGGATGTCAAAGATTGGTCAAATAATCAAAGGGCTGGGATTAGATTCTGGATTAAAGGTGATAGTGATCGGTAAATTGTCATACCTTTTAATTGTATAAATAAACTGAAAATCTTTTACTACTTTATTTATAGCAGTGACATGTAAAATTTTTCACCTTTTATAATTTTGATGATTTGAACTTGGATTAGGTGGGTGACCAACTTATATCATCTAAAATAATTGAAAAAAAAAAAAAGCAAATGTTGTCGTCGAATCCAAAGTTTATAAAATTTCATCTTTAAAAAATTAATAAATCATTCCAATTAAATCTAAGTTCTTTGGAATTGGTTTGTTGCAACGAACAAGAGGAAAATATTAAAAGAGTGATTTTGATTTGATGTAGTGATTAAGTAGCCATCATTAAAGTGTGTGGGGTCATTCCATGGCAGTTCCAATTAGAGAATGTTTTTGGCACCATCGTTAATTGTTAACATTTTATTCCTTAATACTAGTTAATATCAACCTCGTAATTTGATTATATTCTCTTCCACAACAAAGTTCACCGTGAATTTTGGCTTTAGGAATTTGAGAAAATTATGCAACCTGCAGCACTAACCATGTGGTTTGATGATATTTTGAAAAGAATTCAGATTTTGTTCGTGGAACAACTTGAAAGAGTTTCAAAATCTAAAATGATCAATGAAATACGAACTTATTAAGTAAATTTGATAATTTATATATTTATATTAAGTGAAAAATATCAAAATGAAAGAAAATGCATGCCAGGATGTGACAAAATGGAACAGTATTGTAGAAATGTGATAATGATTTTCAGGTTCGAGCATCTTTCTTTAGCAGTGCAAGAAGTTTTAGATGAGTTCGATCCCCATCTTATCCTACTTGCTTGTACCAAAAAATGGTAAAACCTTGTAAAAAATGTTACAAATCTTCATACCAACGACGGATTAGAACGTTATGAATAAACATTTAGAGGGATTATGTGGACAATCTGATATTATATGTTGTTAGTAGATTTCAATTAAGGAAAGGGTTTTGGACTTTAAATTGGAACCAGAATTTGGAACCAGACAGAATAACATGATTCAATGCCAAGTTCATCTAAGAGTAAAGCATGTGCTTCTGTTTCCCAGTAGATTCCCAGACAAAAGTTGCGACAAAGAATCAAAAGCAGATATACCATATCATATATTTAAGTGAAGAATTCAAGTATCCCACCGTTACATGGCTATACCTTTTTCCAGAACAAAAACAAAAAGGACCATTGCTCCCTATATACAATGCTCCATTATCAAAATATGTAGCACCTAATTCCCAGATTCTCCCTTTTTCTCATCTCCATTTATCTCCCTCTCAAGCCAGTCATTTGAATTGTCTCCAATTTTTATTAATTTACATATCAAAGCAAGAAAATATACCCACCACGTAAAAATCACCGAGCCCTGTTTCTATTACTCCATTTTGTACCCTGCTTCCCAAGCCACAAAATGAAAAACAAAAATTTCACAAAACAAAAGGTTTGTGGATACAGAAAATGAATGTAGGGTGAGGAGGATTTTTGAAGATTTCGCCATCGATTACCTTGGCTGTGGACGAGCTGGAAATGAATGAGCTTGTTGAAGCTTTCGTTGTGGAGGGTTCCCAAAGAGCATGGTCTGAGATCGGGTCACCATTTCTGTCATGGTTGGGGTCTGGTAAGCCTGAACAAGGCTTGTACTATCGGTGGAATCACCTCGTGCAGTTGCTCTCTGCCAGGAATGTGAGCTCAAACCTGACAACACATAAGCCCTTCCAGATGACTCGTACACACGACGGTTTGCCATTCTTTCTTGCATCTCTTTTAGCTCAGCACATAGTGCTACGCATAACCTGTCACCAGCCTGTGCACAGATGGTTTCTGATAAAGCCCTGCGACAACTCTCAAGAAGAGAGACAGCACCAGTTAGATCACCATGTTCAGCAGCAGCTCTAGCCTCAGCCATAGCCTCAGCAGCACGGAGCCTGTTTCGCTGCCTGTCTACTTCCATTGACACAACTGGCTGTCCCATTATTGTTGGCCTTTGGATCTTTACTTCATTGGCTTCTTCCGAGGACATCATTTCTTTTGATATGGGGTCTCTGTACATACATCTAACTTTCAGCAATGACATCTCATCACTGGATTCACCAACTGGAACATTGACTGTCACCAAGAAATCTCTTTCTTCTTCGGCATACAAGTCTCCTACATCAATAGAACCTGCTTTTGCATCAGCTGTCATGCTGGTTCGATAACTCCCTGCCTTTATTGAATTAATTAGCAAATTTGGGTCAGCACACTCAACTTTAACACATGCCTCCTGCACTACCACACTTAAAAGCCCTCCAATGCATTGGGCAAAAGCATCTTGGATCACACCCTCAGCTTCTATGAAAGAAAATGTACCCCCAGATATTTCAGAAATTGAATGCATTGAAGCAGCATCATGATCTGCACCAAACCCAAAGGCGTGCACAGGGATATGGAGACCTGCACCACCATCACGCTGACTTGAGATAGGAAGAAGTGATTTATAATCTGTCCGGGAATGAGCTCCGCTAGGACTTGTCACGGTATAAGTATCCTGCCCATCTGATAACAGTATGATGCTTCCGACCGGGTTCTTCCACTTTCGATCTACTATCACCTTGGCACCCTTCCTAAGCCCTTCAGCAATATTTGTCCCACCATTTGAAGTAAGAGAGTTAACAGCCTGCAACACTTCCTGCCGTCCAGTCTCAGTCATCTGGCGAAGAGGAAAGAGGCGACGAGCTGTGGAAGAGAATGCTATAACACAAAGCCGGTCGGAGGGCCCAAGATGCTGTATCACAAACCCCATAGCTCTTTTTAGCAATGCAAGCTTGGTACCTGCCATGCTGCCACTAACATCAAGAACAGTGACAAGGTCAACGGAGGCACGAGAATTTTGACTTGTGGGGGAAATTATAGTTTGATTTCCGCTATTTATCCCTCCACTTGTATGGGGAGCCTTGAGATGGATTAATATGGCAAAATTATTATGACAGGTTGCTCTTGGAATAGCTGAAACTTCAGGATATGTTTTAACTTCTATTGCTCCAATAGAATTATTCTTAGTAGCATCCTTGTTAAAGATATTTTCTTCAGTAGTCTCATTCTGCTGATCTAGGACTTCATCATCATCAAAGGTTCCTGGCTCAGAGGCATGAAATAGTGAAGAAATCTGCCTAGTTGAATCAAAACGAGGGGAAGGTAGCCGTCGTACAACAGTCATCCAGGCATCATCCCGGGGCCAATCTGCTGGATTGATTCTAGACCTTCCATTGGGAAGATTAGAAGCAGGGCTCTGAAAGGGGATTTCCCTCCATTTTGCTCTGCAAACTGGACAAATCTGATTTCCATGTTTTACATTAGAAGTTATACAGTGAAAGTGGAAAGAATGGGAGCATTCTGCTGTGAAAATGGCATGGCCTTGACCCGGTTTCATTGCTGTCAGGCATATTGAACAGGTTTTCTGCATTTTGAAAGGAAAGGCAGTTAAGGGTAGCTAAAGGAAAGATTTAAAGCAAGTACTATATCAAAATGACTGATAAACTTCAACACACACAACCAAACCCCACCAAAACAAAAACTGATCCTAGAGAAGACAATTCGCAGTATTCTAAAACTCTAGCTGCTTGAGGAAGCAAGAAAAGGCCAAACAAATTGAGAGAGAAAATCACTCTTTATAACATTTAATTCACCCTAATATGTGTTAATTCTGGAAGCCAGATTAACAACCAAAAAGAATACTCAAAGATTAAACAATGTTGCTTCACATGAAACACAATTACAGCTGAACAATTGATGTTTCTCCCTTTTGATAAATCATAGCAGCTGCAAGCAATTTATCAGACAATTATACATCTAAGGTATTCATAAAAGGTGAGATTTAAAAAAAAAAAAAGAAAAAGGATAAAAGTAATCAAGTGCCAGGCAGCACGAGTCAAGATGTTATTGGTACAAAGATGTTTGTGAATTGAATATAAAGGGTGCATCAAATTACAAAAACATTTCCCAAAATAGCACCTTAACTAACACACATAGGCACTCATTAACAAATTTCTTATCCCCAAAGAGCCATAGATTTTAAATAAGGACAAAAGGAACCAAGTTGCAATTCATGGGCATCAAAGCTGGCAGATCGCTTCTAGAATAAGTCAGAGTCATATTTTCTAGTCTTAACAGAAATTTAATTTTTCTATTTTAGTTCAAATCCATATCTAACTCACTTCAAACCTAGCATCTAACAATTACCTTGATATAGTATAATATCTAATGTTTCTGGAAAAATGTGAAATTTTCAAAGGTCAGTATATAGTGTATGGTGCCCATCACTGACCCTTTCTGTCACATACAGCTCTATTATTGAGACTGGCGCATAAAAAGAAGAAATAAAATGCAACCTATCTATATGATAAAGCCCTACTTGATTTTAGATAGGGTTAACTACAGTAAAATTGCAAAGAAATTATAATAAACCATAAAAGTAGGTCAATAGTAAATAGTCAAAGCATTGTGAAGGACATATCAGGAAATTCAACAAAAACCAAAGGGGTGACTTTAAAAAGTAAGATTAATCAAACAACCCTCTCAAACTAATGATGAACCTTTCAAACAAAATAACCCAAAAAAGAAATTAAAAAAATAATACAAAGTTCATAAAAAGAAGTGGAAATGATGGGGTTTCTCCCTAATTTTTATTTTTAATTTCCATTTCCCCGTTACTCCTTTTTTTCTTTCTGAAACTTATTAGAGCAAAAGCTCACAATCAACGGTCCACAGCCTTTTACAAAATTATCGTCAAAAGGAGAGAGACAGATATAGAAAAATTTGTGTGTGGAATAGTGCAGTTATGCTGACCAGACAAAGCACTTTTCCATCAAGGTGAAGGAGAAAGAAAAGGAGAGGGAGAGTACAGCATACAGTAGGGTATTGTATTCCTTTTCTAATAAGCCAAAGGACAATGGTCCTTAAAGGGACTAGTCCACTTTATCCCCACATTGGCTCCATATGGCCTTATGGGAGAGTTGAAAATAACAAGACAACAAATACTCATCTTCAGAAATTTCAGAATTAGCACACTATCACACACTCCACCATCCCCCCCTTCCCCACATGATAAGCAGCCTTGAAAGTTGAAGTCAGGTAGGTATATATAGGTAAAAATCAAATTTCTACAGTCAATAAAATAATTGAAACTTGTACAATATTTTATCCCCACACTAACCTTCATATTAAAGGCAAAAAAAAAAAAAAAAAACTTCATATTTCATACATTGAATCCCACTATTCAAGATCAATATTAGATAAAAAAGCAAATGAATTAGGCAAGAAACACAGATGATACGAGCAGTAATTTGTATTACAATAGTGTAAATATATAACCCTTTCACATAAAGCACACTATCATTCAAGATTAAAATACAAAAATGAAGTGTTGGATTAAGTTAATTAAAAAACCATATAAGCTAATCACTGACAACCAGAATCTCCTCTAAGATCCAGCGGAAAACAAACATTAAAACCACAAAACACCAATAATTACAAATAAAAATTAAAAAATAAATTCAACTAAAATTAGCAAAAAAACCAACTTGGCAAAATCTAAAACAAAAAAAAAGATAAGGAAAATCCCAACTTTATCCTCATTCAGAAGTTAAAAAAAGAAGTGAGTTTGGTAAGAAAATGGAAAAAATGCAGACCTTGGAAGATTTTGGACTGGATTTGGACAACTGGAGCCCGGAAGAGGAAGGGGTCGGAGTCTTGGGGTGGCACTCGTTGCCTGAAGGAGAAACAGGAGACAGAGGAACAGCATCTGAAGAAAACCTTGAGGGAACAGTAGCAGCATCATGATGATGCAGAAGGGATGTTGATGATGCTGATGATGATGGTGGTGAATCTTCAAGCTTTTGGTGAGGTACATATAAACACATGTTCAAGCCAAGAGCCAACTTTGCTTTCCTCCATTTGCTTCCCATGATTAAAAAAAATGGGTTTTCTTTTTTCAGCTCCAAGATCTCTCCTTTGTAATAAAAACCAGTTCTTTTGTTATTGTTTTTCAGAATATTGGAAAACCAGAGCTGTTGTTAGGCAAAGGTAGCATTTTGGTTGAAAATAAATAAGGAAACTGCTGTTGTAACTTTTAAGTAGGAAAAGAAAGCAAACATCTGTTTGTGGTTGTGAGGAGTAAATAAATATGGTTTGGAGTGAATTACAAGTGAGGTTAATAGGCAGATGAAGAGAAGGAAGCTTTTGACCTTTTGGGTTTGGGAGATAAGAGATTGGGTCAGAGATTGTAGCAGCCTTTTTTAGTGTTTTTTTCTTTTGCTAATCTGGTTGGGAAACTGTTTTTGAATAAAATAATAAAAACTTATTTTATTGTTTTTCTTATAACCATTTTTAAGTTCTGCCTTTAAGATTGCCCTGACCTTTTACTTTGATTTCATCATTGCCACTGATTAGTGCCGGCCATTTATGCTTTTTTTTTTTTTTGCTTTATTATATGTCATTTTCTTTTTTTTTTTTAATGAATGTTATATTTTATGTTACATTTTGCATGATAAATACATGCAAAGGTTATGAATAAGAGTTTTTTTTTTATATGAAAATAAATTTTTAAAAAAATTAAAAAATTAAAGATAAATTAAAATTTTTTAAAAATAATACATTTATCATATATATAAATTCAAGTTAGAAATACTTTCTAATTCATTAGTCAAATCTGTTAATTAATACAAGAGTATTCATAATCAAATTGAGTTTAGTCTAATTGACTTTTTAAAATCTGTATTTAGAGCTCGGTTTGCAAGTTCCAGGGGCCAAAATTTTTTTAAAAAAATATTTAAATATTAATATTTAAATATGTTAAATATATTTTAAAATTAATTTTGATTAATTAAATAATAAATTAAATCAAATAAAATTCAAACTTGAAAATTTTAGTCAAAATTCAATTCGAAAGCGAAAACTCGAAGATTAGTCTAATTAACATCATCAACAAGATTATTAATAGTAATTTTCTAGAGAAAAAGAGAAAAAAACAAAATGTCTTTATTAAGTTAATTAAGATGGTCCAAAACTTCCAACGACCACTCATTTTCGCATCTTCGTTCAAATGAAGTTTATCAAGGGATTGCTTCTATCAATTTACTCCAAAAGAATGCTGCTTTGTCTTGGTTACTTTCAAGAGAGATGATTAGTCAAAAAAAAATCTCAGAATCCAAACAAATGTTCAGCAAATACTCCTTCTCAATTAGTGTTTTGACCAATTGATTCCTTTCTGAAAGCCAAATCCGACACTTCTCCTTGCCCAATGATTTTTTTTTCTTTTTTGTTGGTGCAATAGGACCGAGATATCAAAAATCAAGGCTGTGATCCATCATCTTGACTATCAAAATCAATTATAATTGTTAGATAATCGATATTATTGATTTCATTTTTATTTTAGGTTATATTTTCTTACAATTATTAGAAAATAATTTATGTGGATATAAAGAATCTCCGATAACAAAAATCATGATATTTTATATTTATATGTTTTACATTGAATTTTTTTTAATGTAAAGATGTTAATTTTATTCATATTTAATAAAAAATTAAAATTTTCATCTAAATAAGAACGATGATAAATATTAAATTATAAATATAAAAATAAAGATAGATATGACTTTAAATTTTTATTAAGTATAAGATGAAGATGAATAATGCAACACTCACTCTGTACTTATACCCTTATATATATAATTTTTTTATATATTTAGAGAATAATTTTTTTATTAAATAATAGAAATTATTATTTTAGATTAATTAAAATTAATATATTTTTATTAATATATATTTATATTTATTTATAAAAAAATTACATAAATTATAAGATAAAAATAAAAATAAATTAAAAAATTATGAATATAAAAATTATTTATGCCTATCAAATACTCGCGAAAATAAAGATGAAGATAAATTTAAAATATTTATTGGATATAAATAAAATATAAGTATAATATAAAAATTTGGGATGAGATAAAAAATATTTTATCTGTCTCATACCCTACCAATTAACATTCATGTTGATGCTTTGCATTGAGTACTTTGTTGTAATGAAATTTGATGAGCATAATTTCTTTTATAAGTATATTACTTTACTCTTATTATTATTATTATTCTTAGTAAGATAATTTAAGGATATCTTCAAACTTTTTTTTTTTTTGAAAGATTTAAAAAAAGTGTATTTTTTTATATTAATATGATGCATTTAAAATTTTATTTTCAAAATAATTTTCACAAAAATTAAATTCTAGTTGATAAGAAAAAAATTAAAATTTTTTTATTGAATTATTAAGATAACGGTGACAATTATCCAACAATTTCAATGATTTACAAGTAAAGAATTTGTTCTTTTAAATTGAAGAGTATTACCATTCCTATGCGAACGACTAAGATTTCCAAGTGTGAAAAAGAAATCTAGAGTGATTACACATTTTAAATAATTAAAGAAACTCATTTTTCTTATTGGATTACCTTAATGTATAATTAATGTACAACTACAATATAATTAGGTTGTTATCCTTGTCATCAATTCATGTGAAGTCTATGCAAAACTTAGATCAGATGAACTCCAATTTTTTTTATAATTAAATTGAATAATTATAAAATTATAATAAAAAAGTTGTGGTCGATATGAATTCTTAGTCTTTTTACAGAATATCTAAATATCGAAACCGACCTACTTAGAGTAAAGGGCGATTCAAATCTTGCCTAATTATTTTTCCTCTTAAATACAAATAAAGAGGGTAGATTTGCTCATCCAACTGGGCTAATTGGTTAATTATTCAGACCGACAAAATGTTGGATATTGCTAAAGTTGAGGAAAAGGGAAAATTAAAAATTTCTAACCATCGTATAATATTGAAATTAATATAATATTAAAATTTTAATTTTAATAATTAAAATGATAATTTTAAATATAAAAAATTATAGCTGATAATTTCTAATCTTTTTTTTTTTTTTTTTTTGGTTTATAATTCTAAATCAATTCAACAATTGTTTTTTACTTGTTTATTCTTTGGTCGTCTTTGTGGATTACGTTGAAGTCACTTTCTCATAATTACAATTTTACCCATGAGTAATAATATAAGGTTGAGCTTTTTTGACTTTGGCAGGAAAAATAAATTTTGCTTGGCCCCATTATGATGGGTAGCTCATAGTGGGGATTGCCTCATCACCTTTGTAATAATCTATATTTTTAATTAAGAAGGTTCTCTAACTAAAAACAGTAAATTTCTTTTTGAACAACTTTTTACCCCATTTCTATAATAATCCTATAATTAATTTAGACATAAAACACAAAAAATATGTTATTAAATAAGTTTCGAATATTATTTTATGGATTTGAAAAATCATGCAAATTGAAAAAAAAAAATGTAACAAATGAAAATTTCTTCTGATTTGTTAAACACTAAACAATTCCTTTTTTTATTTATTTTTGTAATTCCAAATCTCCTTTTAATAAGATTTGAACTTTAAATTTCATTACAATTGAAATCTCAGACTCAAAACTACTCAACTATCCCTTGAAGAAAACTTTAATAGTAAACCAATTTGAAGAGCAATTTAATATGATTTAACATAACTTTAGGTTGTAGTTATTATGTCATGCACCAAATGTATGAATGTATAGTGAAGTTGGTCACTGTTCTTTGTCCTTCATGTAAACTCATGTTTAGCTTTTTTAGGTTGGCAATCAATCACCCAAAAAAAAAACAAAAAATTCTTATGCAATCACAGTGATTTTTTACATTAAAATGTTAATTATCTTGTTTTATAAAAATATACATAATACTTTTTCGGTTGAAATTTTAATTAGAATATTTTAAATGTCTCATACAATTGACCCCAAGGAAAAAGAAATCTCGTCAAAATCACTATATCCGCCATGAAAGTTTTCTTTCGTAATCCTGGAAAGCTTTTTACAGTGAAAAGAATTTTGAATTGTATCTAAATAAATTAAGTTATGTACTTCTTTGATGGAATTGCGTGGCCTCGCAACAAATCCTATCTATGGGTTAAGGAAAAAGAAATGTTAGCAAAGGTTGCAATATTTGCATTTTTCTTCTTTTTTCCAAGAAAATTAACCCATTATTAATATTGGTAACCTACTGCTACCTAATCGAATAATTATTATTAAGGGGAAAATTTTAGCCAGCTTGGATTTAGTTCATTAGGTTCACGTGTTTTAATTAGAGTTTAATCCCTTTAGTATAACTTAAATTTGAGTTTAAAGCATTTAAATTTACACATATTTTTCAAACATATATAGTTTCATTTGATGAGTGTCCCTTAAGAGCTTGTGAAAACTTTTATTTGATTTAATATATAGTTGTATAAACCCTCTTTCAAATCAATAATTCAAATGTTAAACTTTTAATTTTAATGATAAAAACTCAATCATTGATAATTTTAAATATAAAATAAATAAATACATGTGGGCTAAAAAAATTATTTTACTATTCTTGAATTGGGAAGGAAAAAAATAAAAAAATAAAAAAGGAAGGCTAGGGTCAATATCATGATTGAGGACACAGATGGGTGGTTTCCAAATAATGGCCACTCATGGCATTTGGACCATGGTTTCACTCATTACTCTAATTGCAAATCAAAGGGCGTATATATATATATATATACTCTCCTTTCACTAACCGTAGGTTAGATATCAAGTTGGGTTTGATATGGACCCTAATGCGAACAATAATTTGGGATATTCCTAAGGTATATGTTATTGTCAAAAAATTTGTTTTATAAAGTAGTTTTAGTATTTGTAGCTGATCAGTGATTAACAATTGTAGAGCCTGATCTTGTTAATGTCAAATATCCTTGTCACAACACTGAAAAATCCAAGTGGTGAGTCCCCACCGACACCTCACAAGCTTAGCCAAAGAGATATATGCTGAGCTTTAATACAACCAGATCAAATGAAAAGAGTGTTTTTTTTTTTTTTCAGTATTTTTTTTTCAAATCGATGTAGACAAGTATATTTACATCGGATTTAATGAATTTATAAAAAATTATCTTATAGTTTCTCAATGGATTCAAACTAATATAATAAAAAGAGAAACGTATTCTCTTTTGTCACTTCAACCAACATCCTTTCGTAAAATGAAAAAAGTTTTGATCAATCATTGAGTAACTCATTTCACTGTGTATGGTAAATTTCTCTATAGCTAAATGCTAATCCAATACTCCATTTCTTTCATGTACAAATATACATGAAAAAAAGATAATATCACATGCTTAAGTTTGCCTTTTTATATCTCTTTTTTAATTTTTTTTGTTAATATTGATATAATTATTAGGCACACAAAATTAATTATTATAATTATATAATATGTTGATAAAATATTAAAGTTTTAAATAAAATTAATTTCTGACTATATTTATAAACAAATAAGTAATAATAAACTTGCTAACTTATGATCTAGTTTCATAACTAATCCATAGCCCTAAATACATAATTAGAGACACTATTAGGAGGGCATGTTCCCTAGTAAAGCCTGATTTCTACTTTTTTTGTTGACTTTGCCTTAGAAAGTGTAACAAATTTAGGACTACAAAAGAGAAGTCCAACCCCACAAAAGGAGCCATAGGGATTCTTTTACTTAATGATTCTTCCCCACTTACTGTAATTTAAAACCTCCCTTTCTCTCTTTCCTCTCGTTCTACATGGGAAACAAGTTGGAAACATAAATGTTGTGGTCTCAAAAGGAGTTAAATAAAAAGGATCCACTGTCTTGGGTCCCTTGTGCATGTTCTCTTGTAGGGAGGAATAACTTTTAATTTTTGCATCTAAAAGATAGAGCCCTTCTGATCTCTTTTGTAAGGGTCCCGATCCAAAATTTGCAAACAATTGCATAAACAACTTGGAATTAAGACAACATATATATATATATATATATATAAATAAATCTATCATCTTCTGCTTGTTTTCTTATAGACCCATTAGATAATCTCAAAACTTGATTATTCCTATCATTTTCTTGACTCTACTTATTTATAAAAGAGTTGCTGGTTTGAAAATTTGACTTTGATGACTTCAAAAGTTGAGTATATTGAATTGAGGAAATATAATTATAGCTATAATGTCAATTATATATTGATCTAAGCTAATAAAAAAAATAGTAGTTTGATCAGTTTATATGTGATTGGTTGATAGGTTGTTGGGTTTTTAATTTCAATGTTTTAATTTGTCATAATCATAATATCAAAAAAGAAATTAGTAATATGAATAAGTTTGGGTTTTTTTTTAATATAGTAAGACAGAAAACATGCCTGGATGTGGATAGGACTTTTGATGGGGCTCTTTGAATGCTCCAAGACCTAACAATTCAAGTGAATGAAAATGGAACAGCAAAAGGAAAAGTTGCAAAGTTTGAATGCTAAGAAGAAGAGGTGGAGGAGAGATGACAGGTTGTCATGCATGAAACAAAGGTGACCAAAATGAATAGCCTTCCCAATGGAGTGCATGTTCCTTGAATTAGTGGATTTGCTAGTTGTCAAAATTGATTGCTTCCAAAAAAAAAAAAAAAAAAAACACATCCAAGGTCGAGAAGTCAATGGTATGACATTAATAAAAGCTACCACTGAGATCATCTCATCTTTGAAAATAAAAAAAAGCTGCTTTAATTCAGCATGGTAGAGGCGATAAGGGATCAATCAATTGAGAATCACTTTCACTAAATTCATTTTGTTATTCTGAAGTTTATAGGTTTTATTTGTAGCTAAAGTTCTTCATACGAAGAATATTCTTAGGATATATTAGTCAAAAGTGAATTATAACCCATACCATATTCAATTAACCTATAATTTAAAAAATTAATCTTCTTGTTAAGAGTCATATGATTTATTAACACAATACTGAATAATCGTGATCTCAAATATTAAAAAAAAAGCCTTCTTCATAATCTTATTTTTTAGTTTGTTGATGCACATGACAACATGTTAAGAGAAAGGAACCAGAATTCTCGAGCTACACCTGCTTCATTGAACTTATTAAATCATTGTCAGTCCAAGTCAGATCTAAACAGGTCTAAATACCAAATATTATATATATATATATGTTTATTTATTTAGGCTGCAAGCAACACATTTGACATTGATATTCTTTACAGCCTTTTAGATCTTTGACTCATTTAGCTGTAGCACTACAAGCAACAATAAGAATGGATAAATGATTTTGTTTTCTTTTTTTTTAGGGCTTTTTTCTTTAGATTTTTTTTGAAAGATGGATTAATGGTTTAAACCCTTAAATAGTTATTATAACGTTTAGATCTGAGGACTTATCGTTAGATATTGACTTAAGGAATCGTCACCAATATTTTTTGTTTAGGTGCGATTGGTCACCTAAGAAATCTATCATTTCAAGGAATATCTAAGCTTGACTAAGGGTCCCTAAAAGAATAAGTTCGAGTCTATCAACCAGAACGGGGTTCGAAAGTTCGGTTATGAGTGAGAAGGTTATAACACTCTCACAACGCCTATCGAAATATAGTACCAGCTTAATTTCATGTTATCAAATAAGCCTTAAAAATTTTACCAAGTAATTATTATTGAAAATTATTCTTAATTAACTCCAATACTTTTGGTAGAAAATTAAAAAAATTCTCTCAACTCAAGAATATGCAAGAAGACTATTGTTTCTCTTATAGAGGTTTCGTCATCGGATTATTTAATATTAAAAATTTTCTAAGAAAAGAAAATAACAAAAAAAAGAATAATGCTTCAATTTTTTTATATAGATTTTTATTGTTTTATGAAAAAAAACTCATATTTCTATACAAGAAAAATTGATACTTTCAACTTTTTCTTTAAAATATTTTTTAAAAAAATTTATTTTTTAAGATTATTATTCTTTAAAAAAAATTCACAACAAAACATTTAAATAAAAAAAGCATAATTGTTTTTTTAAAATTTTTATTTTCAAGAAAAATTGATACTTTCAACTTTTCTTCAAAAATCCCTTTTTTGAAATCTTTATTTTTAAGAAAAATTGATACGTTCAACTTTTCCTTAAAAATATATTTTTTTAAATTTTTATTTTTTAAGAAAATTGATACTTTCAACTTTTTCTCAAAAATATTTTTCTTGAAATTTTCATTTTCAAAGAAAATTAAGACTTTCAACTTTTCTTTCAAAAATGTTTTTTTGAAAATTTTTATTTTCCTTAAAAATGTTTTAAAAAAATTTTATTTTTTAAGATTATTATTCTTTAAAAAAAATTCATAACAAAATATTTAAATAAAAAAGCAGAATAACATTAAAATAAAATACCGAAAATCATGGCTTAGTTTAGTAGGGAGTGGCTCGGCTTCTTTGTATTGAAACAATCTGACGGCTTAGCTTGAAGTTTGGAGCATGTCGTAACTAAGTTGGATCGCCTGTGGAGCAACACACGGATCCTTTTAAAAGGACCCAGTTTCTTCATTCCTCACAGTGTTGCATTTTAGTTTAACTATAAAAGCCAAAATTTTCATTTTTTTTTCCTCTTTTCAGACTTTCACCCTCTTTCTAACTCTATGCTCTATTCCTTCTCCCTACAAAGAACAACTTCTTTTTTAGATTTCAGTTAATCCCATATGTACCGCCATCATTTGGCTTTTGCCGGTTGTCACCTGTCGGCACTGATCATTCCAAAAATGCCTCCACGAGTTTGTCTCGATTTTCTTAACTCGAATACAAACCCTAAATTCTTGAAACCTTCTTGTAAACACCTTTTTTTATCACGAAATTCTTTGTTAATTGAGACTAATCTAAGTTCGGTTGTAGAAATTTTTTATATTTATCATTTTTATTTTTATTTTATGATTTATGTTTTTTTTTTTTCATGATTATCTGATTAATTTAAAAAAAAAAAAAATGCCTGAAAGATTGCAGATTTAGGCTTTGGGTGATTGTTGGATTATTATCTAGATGCTAATCTTTAGCATTGGATGACTTAATTGAATTGAATGAAACTCTATCAATATGGATCTATATATTAACAATGAATATACAAGAAAAAGGGAAAAAAAAACTAGAAGGCATTGTTACGATTGCATCGAAAAGTAAGCCCAAAGCTTGCAGCTTGTGTAGCTGATTTATCCTCTCCCTATCCTGATTTTGCCCTTGGTTTTTGAAGCCGTCTGCCAACTTGTCGCATAAGCTCTTACTTATTGGCTAGTATATGGTTGGACTCCTGGCCTCTTCCACTTAATTCTTACCAGTGTTCAAACTACTTCATCACTGGCTTTGGGTCCAAATGAGACCTGCAGTTTACTTCGTCTTTTGATTATCTTGTTGACGAAGATACTAAATACAATTTTACATCTGATTTATTGCTGAAACGTAATCATGAATAGTGTTTGGTTGATCTTTTGGTTCTTTCTCTTGTATTGTTGATCACTCTTTTACAGAAATTATAGGAAGCTAAGGAGCAGCAACAGGAAGAAAGATCCAGAGATCAGAAACTGACAAAAAAAATAGATTTGAGGGAGAGATATAAAGAAAAGCATACGGCAACAAAAAAAGAGGGATTACAGAAAGGCATGAGAATTATCGAGTGAAAGTGCAATGACCCAATTTGGAACAGAGGTTGAAGTAGAAACACTTAGATTTCTTGTTGATGTCTTTCGTTGAGGTACAGAGAAAGATCTTGCAGATCACCCAAAAGTCGAAGTCCTTCATGATATGTTGCTTGAATACACAAATGGTTTCAGGAATTCTAGCTAGAAGCATGTAGGTAATTTTGGTTGTCCAGAAAAGAGACGGATCCTGAATACTTTTGCAGATATATCCCCCTTAGTCGAATAAAAACTTCTTTTACAACTGAAAGCTGTCCTGTCTTGAGTTGTTATTTCCCTTCTATGACTATAAGTGATGACATTGAAAGAGTGGCTTCCAGTTCTCTCATTCGGTGCAAATTTGGATCAATGGAGGCTGCAGTAAAGGTGCGCACTCTTGAAATAACATTCAAGAAGTTTAGCTTCAGAGGCGTTGATTTGGATGCTCTCCTTGATATGTCCACCGATGAGCTGGTTAAGCTGTTCTCTGCTCGTGCCCTCAAAAGGTTCCAGAGGGGTCTCAAGCGAAAGCCCATGGCTTTGATTAAGAAACTCTGCAAGGTGAAAAAGGAGGGCCCCATCTGGCGAGAAGCCAGAACCTATTTTTTGTAGTTTTTTTTATTATTTATGTGCTTATTTATTTTTTTTAGAATATTTTTTGCATGAATAACTCAAAAAGAATAAAAAATATAAAATAAAATTTCAAGAATAATATTTTTGAGGAAAAGTTGAAAGTACCAATTTTTCTTGAAAATATATATATTTTTAAAATATTTTGAGGAAAAATTGAAAATATCAATTTTTTTTGAAAATAAACTTTTTAAAAAAATATTTTTGAGAAAAAGTTGAAAGTATCAATTTTCCTCGAAATTAAAGTTTCTAAAAAAATATTTTTGGGAAAAAGTTGAAAGTATCAATTTTCTTTAAAAATAAATTTTCAAAAAAAGTTTTTTTGAGGAAAAGTTGAAAGTATCAATTTTCCTTGAAATTAAAGTTTTCAAAAAATATTTTTGGAGAAAAGTTGAAAGTATTAATTTTCCTGTACAAAAGCAATCATTTTTCTTTTATTTCTTTTGATTTTCTTTAATGTTAAATAATCCGACGATGAAGCCTTTGCAAATGAAACAGTAGTTTTTTGCATACTCTTGAGGTGAGAAAATTTTTTCAATTTTTTGCTAAAAGTATTAGAGTCAATTGAGAATAATTTCTAATAATTAATTACTTGGTAAATTTTTAAAGTTTATTGGATAACACAAAATTAAGCTGGTACCATCTTTTGATAGGCGTTATGAGGGTGCTATAACCTTTCTTATACGTAACCAAACTCCCAAACCCTGTTCTGGTTAGTAGACCCAAACTTATTCTTTTAAGGACTCTTAAACTTAGGTGTTCCCTGAAATGATAGATTTCTTATGTGGCCAATCGCACCTAGATAAAAAAAGATTGGTGGCGACTTCTTCAAGTCAATGTCTAGCGATAGATCCCCGATCTAGACGTTATGACACTTCTTTAAATGCCTCGAACCTAGAGCTATAAGCTATAACTTTTCACTGTTTCAACCAATTTGCACCTTCTGATCAGGACAGTTTTGGGATATGCTATTCATCATCCTTTGCTCTCCTTTTTTACCATTTCGATTTCCAAACAACACCCTCTATTATGGACCATTGCTGGCATTGCACCACTGTAGACTTTTGTAACTTTTTTTTAATTCTTTGAGTGGTGGATTATTTTTTTGAATGTGGTTTGTAGTTGTGTTTGGGTTTACTAGCTTCTGGTCTGAAGGCTAGATGAAGCTTGCTGAAATTCTTTGTTTTTATTTTTGCGTCAACTGGAATGTTGAACCTGAATGCTACTTGATTGCTATCAAATGTGTGCCTTATCAAGCATTTCTATCTTGTCTTGATTCTCTTGACGTTGAATGGATTATTGCCTTCTAGAAACTGCCTACCTTAAGTTTTCTAGGTTTACTGGTGATCTCGTGTAGAGATTTTTGTTTCTGAACAAAATTAGGTGTTTGGAACTTGTGCCTGGGGCTGAAATTAGACTGGTTTTAGTTGCTGCCTGGTATTGGCGCTGATGGGAAGTTGATGATGATGGAGCTGTGATGGTAGAAGAGAGGTTCAAATTTGGAGAACCAGGCAGACTTGCTTTATGGTTGAGCTTGTTTGATTTTTTGGTGTCATTGCCCCCTCGATTGATCAACCTTGAAAATATCTTCCTCCAGGATGGAAAGACCAGTTTTATAGCACTTTGCTATCAAACAGAGCAAAAGAAACTCTGGATGTAAAAGTAGCCAAATGTTCAGTGTCATAACGTCTAGATCCGGGGATCCATCGCTAGACATTGACTTAAAGGAGTCGCCACCAATCTTTTTTATCTAGGTGCGATTGGCCACCTAAAGAATCTGTCCTTTCAGGGAATACCTAAGTTTAAGGGTCCCTAAAAGAATAGGTTCAGGCCCACTAACCAGAACAGAGTTCGGGAGTTTGGTTACGTGTGAGGAAGGTTATAGCACCCTCACAACGCCCATCAAATGATGGTATCAGCTTAAATTTGTGTTATCCAATGAGCCTTAAAATTTTACCAAGTAATTAATTATTAGAAATTATTTTCAATTGACTCTAATAGTTTTAGCAAAAAATTGAGAAAATCCCCTCACCTCAGGAGTATGCAAGAAAACTACTGTTTCACTTGCAGAGGCTCCATCGTCGGATTATTTAAGAAAAAAATAAAAAGAAATAAAAGAATGATTGTTTTTGTGCAGAGAAAATTGATACTTTCAATTTTTCCCTAAAAATGTTCTTTTGAAATTTTAATTTCGAGAAAAATTGATACTTTCAACTTTTCCTCAAAAATATTTTTTGGAAACTTTGATTTTCAAGGAAAATTGATACTTTCAACTTTTCCTCAAAAACTTTTTTTGAAATTTTATTTTAAAGGAAAATAGATACTTTCAACTTTTTCTCAAAAATATTTTTTGGAAATTTTAATTTCGAGAAAAATTGTTACTTTCAACTTTTTCCCAAAAATATATTTTTTTTATTTTTATTTAAAGAAAATAGAATAATAAAACAAAATAAAAGTGAAAATAGATAAACAAAATAAATAAAAAAATAAAGAAAAGTAAAGCAAAAATAAAAATAAAATAAAGATAAAAGAATATTAAATAAACATAATCTAATAAATAAAAAGAATAAAAAAATAAACAAATAAATTAATTAATTAAAAAAAAAACCTGGAGCGGGGTCGGAGTACGGTTCGGCTCGGCTCAAGGAAGAGAAATGGCTCAGAGAAGCGGCTCGAGACGTCGGTTCGGCTCGGCTCACGGCTCATGAAGGTAAAACACGCGCGGGTCAGGAAGCGGGTTGACACTCGAGTCGGATCGGATCTCGGTAAAACACGCGGATCCTTTGGGTCACTTAAGGCAAAAACGACGTCGTTTTGGGAGGGTATATAAGGCTATTTCCTTCATTTTTCGACAAAAAGCTTCTCCCCCCTCTCTCTCTTCCTTCATTTTTCTCTCGCTTCTCTCTAAAAAGGTCGAAGAACTCTGGTTGAATATTCACCGGATTCTAGAATTTTTCGTCGAAATCTGGGTTTTTCGTCGAAAGTTCACTAAAAAATTGGTCGATTTCTGGGATCCTTCACCGAAAACTAGGCAGCTGGCCGAAAACTTCAAACTTGGTCAAAATTTTTGTCGAAAAATTTAACTTTCGTCGAAAAATTTAACCGAAATCTGAAAATTTTCAAAAATTCCCAAAAAAAAAATCTCCAAAAAATTTCTGCTAATTCCTAAAACACTTCTAAACCTTTTCTTAGCCTTTTATAATTTTCTATCCGCCCTTTTTCTCTCAATCAGTAGCTTTTGCTCACTGTTTTTTTGTTCTGTGTCTTCTGTTCTGTTCCAGAGGGTCTTTTTTATAAGGATTGATCAGAAGAATTTCTGATCATTCCCAATTCCTCTTTGGATCGAGATTCAATCATTGAATCCAATATGGACTATTCTGATTGAATCCAATCCAATTTCCCAGCCAGATAAATCAAAAAAATAAAAGAAAAAAATCAAACGAAAATAAATCAGATAAATAAAAAAAATTAACAGATAAATTAAAGTTAAATAACAGATAATTACATAAATATTAATAGGAAAAAAAAAGAGAAAAAAAAAATAATAATAATATATACATATTAATAAATACATAAATACCTAAGATAAAAAATAATAATAAAAGAAAAGAAAAAAATATATATACATATATAAAATAATAATAATAAAAATGAAAATAAAATACAAATGTAAAATACAAAAAATAAAAATAAAAATAAAATGAAGAAAAAAATATATAGACTTACCCATTTGGACCAGACGCACTTGATCCGGACCTGGACCAAATTGGGTGTCTACATTCAGTAGATGACTGAACCTTTCGAATAGTGGTAAGCAATGGAGCTACCCCGCGTAATGGCTCCTCAAGCAACAGCACTTGGTCTTTGGACCTCTTACAAATAGATGTAAACTTATCAGACACCAATTGAATTTGCTCAGCAACACATGAACTGATAAATCTCGAAATGATTCATAAATGAACTAGCTTACTATTTTGTAACTAGGTCAGTAGTGCCTCCCTCTTTTTTTGTGTTTCTCTTTTTTTTGTTCCCTTCTCCCTTGTGTCAATGGTTAATTTATAAGACTAAACTTAGGAAAATTTTAAATCAATCGTGATTCATCTTGCTTTATCAAAGAAAAATTGAAATTTATCTTTTACAAGATGAATCCCACTCTAACCCTATCACTGCCACTCTCTTCCTACCATTAAGTTCAACCTTCCAAAAATATTAACCAGATAATGATGAAATTAGACTAGAACTAAATCATAAAATATTAAAATTAAATAAAATTCTACAATTGAGCTTGTATCGAACTTCCCATCGATGAAAATTTTGGATAAAATGGGGTGTCTATAGCTGCCCTCTTGGCACATTTTCTGTAAAATAAGAATTATGTAAAGACGTAAACACCCAATCAAGACTCAACTCGACACTTTTTTATTTTTTTTAGTAAACAAAGCTTTTCTAAATAAAGGTTCAACGACTTTAAAAAAATAAATACTCCTCTAAACAAAGGCTCAACGAATTTGAAAGAATAAATAAAGCTCATCTAATCAGAGGCTCAACGACTTCAAGAAATAACAAATAAACAAAGCTCTTCTAATCAGAGGCTCAACGACTTTGAAAAATAAATAAAGCTTATCTAATCAGAGGCTCAACGATTTTGAAAAAAATAAACAAAGCTCCTCTAATGAGAGGCTCAACGACTTTTAAAAAATAAACAAAGCTCCTCTAAATAGAGGCTCAACGACTTTAGAAGAATAAATAAAGCTCCTTTAATCAGAGGCTCAACTTTTAGAAAATAAATTGCTCCTCTAAACAGAGGCATCACAACTTTTAAAAAATAAATGCTCCTCTAAACAGAGGCAACAACAACTTTTGAAAATAAATGGCTTATTGACAATCATGACCAAATGAGTCATAGATCATGTCTGATGGGATTTGTAATGGAAACTCAAAGATTCATAATTTAAGTTTAACAGCCAAAGGTCCAGATTTGCAAGAACCTTTCAACTGCATAAAATTTGATTCTCAAAATTTCAGTTTTATAAGAATTTGATTCACAGTATCTCAATATTCATAAATTGCAAGACTTGCATCCACATTCAAAGAGTCTTATTTGAATTTTTGAGATTCACAACCAAAAGTTGAAAGTTTCTCACATTCGAGTTCAAAGACTCACATGCAATAAAACTTAAAGTTTCACATCTAAGTTCAAAGGTTCTCACTTAGAAATTCGTATCCAAAAGTTAAGTTCGAAGCTTTTCATTTGAATTTTAGAGATTCACATCCAAAAAGTTTAAAGATTCTCATTCTAGTTTGAATATTCACATTCAACGAACTTTAGGGTTTCACACCTCAAAATTTTCATTTAAAAACATTTTAAAGATTTTCATTTAAGATTCAAAGATTCTCATTTGAAAACTTCTTAAAGATTCTCATTTAAGATTCAAAGATTCTCATTTGAAAATATCTTAAAGATTCTTATTTAAGAAATCAAGATTTCATCAAAATATTCAAAATTTCTTTTTTAGATGGGCATCAAAGTTTTATCAAAGTTAAAATTTTGTGTGTGTTGAATGACACAATCAATGATGCAAATACTTTTTTAATGATGCAAATGTAACAGTCTAAATTCTCATAATACCCTATTTTAAGTCATAATTCAAATGCTTGCTAGTTGATATATGTCCAAACAAAGTTTTAATTCATCGAATTATGTGCATGTATTGTTCAAACAATAATGCAAACATAATGCATGGAATGCGGACGCCATGAAATTCTAATCAAAATGTGGTAACATAGTTCTCAAGACTCCATCATTTCACATTTTCTCCTTACTTAGCTTCTCAACACTTTGGAACAAGTTTCATCAACTGATCATCATTATTTTCATCATTTAGTCACCAACTATAGGCTTCTCAACACTAACAATTCTGACACAAGTTTCATCCATTGCCTCACATCATTTAATCATCACTCATAGGCTTCTCAGTACTAACAATTTTAGCATAAATTTCATCCATTAACCCATACTATTTTCATCACCATTCACAGGCTTCTCAACACTAACCATTTTAAAATAAACTTTGTCATCTGATCCATATTATGTTTATCATTTGATCACCATTGACAGGCTATGTCGATCATATTCATCAA